GAGAGTTGTGTTCTTCTGCCTTGGGCTGTTGCCTGTGTGTGTCCAACCCCCTGCTTCCCGCTCACCGTGAGTTGAGCAGCAAATATCTCTAGCTGGGCTGGCTGGAGTAGTAATTTAGATGCTGAAGGACTTTCTGAGGACGAGGGCTGTTTTACTTCCTTTGTGCCTACTCTTGGTTCTCATGTGTGGAAAGTCTCCATTAGAACCCTTAAGAGCCCAGGAACTGGGTTGGCAGTGTAGAGCCTCCTCCCCTCCCTGGCTCCAGTGAGGATGTGCTCAGTGGGAGTTCTTTCTTTTCCCTGGCCCGAAGCCAGGAGGTGCCTTAGTATAGGGGTTGCCTGCATGTTTGATGCTGGAGACATTGGCTGCCTGAATGAACAACCAGGTTCAAGCTGTCTGAATCCAATATAAACACCATTAGCAAGGTGGTTATGGAGTTAGTCCCACCAATAGTCATGGGTAACTTTATAGACACCTGTGTCACACCCAGGATGACTTCTGTCTTTCCTTTGCATTGGACACCCCAGGTCTTCTCTGAGTGTTCCCCATCGCGTGCCCTGCCCGCTCTCTGCCATTCCAGAGTAGCTTTGTCCCATCTAGTACCTCCCCTGAGGACATTTAGGTATCTGTGTGTGGAGCAAATGCCACCACACTGGGGGTTTCATGACTGGGCAATATTTATTCCCAATAAAGAGGCCAGTAAATACAGAAAACAAATGGGTTGAGAATGTGAGCAGTTCACACAGGAAGTCATCATTGGCAGAAAAGGGACATGATACTCAGCTCACTAGTTGCTCAGGAAATACAAATTAGTTTGCATCTATTGTGGGAGCCCTAATGAGGAAATGAGAGGCTACAGTGCTCAGACTCCCTGGTGTGTGGATTCTGCCCCTTTTGGGAAAGATGCTTGGCTGATGGTTTTGAGGTGTGTGCTTTTGTTTTAATGGGAAGATTTTCAAGGCATCCATGACAACAGCGGGCTGCATGTGGTCCTCAGCATTGGCCTGCAGACTTATTCCAAAAACAATTCAGTCTCCCTCCCCATGCAGGATGGAGCATGATGAGATGTGCTTTGGTGATGAGAACATGTGTTTTCATGCAGACACGTACATGGTCTTTGGATGATAGCAGCCGTCAGCTCCCATTGGGGCTGGAGTTGATAGAAGGCAGGCTATGTTCTCCTGGCATCCTCGCTTATACCACTTTCTTCACTCTGGTTCCCTCTCCTCTCTCCAGGCTCTGTGGCCTTCTCATCATTTTACAAGGCCCTGGGACCTCTGCTGTAGGAGACCCCACTCAGGTGATGTCCTTGCCACAGGCATGTCTGCCTGCCTTCCAGCTGACACCCACATCCTTTCCCTGAGCATATGTGCTGGGCTTTGTCCTCGAGCCTGGATAAAAGGCCCCTCCCCCCCAATGGCATGTTATCTAGGTGTCTCTGCTACCCCCAGGCCCTCTCTATCCAGGGTGAGAGGCCTGCTGCTCCTGGATAGGTGGGTGGGTGGGTTGGTTGGTAATACAAGTTAAGGAGCCTTCTGTCTGTGGTCAGGCCACTGCCTACCAACAGGCTGGCTAGGGTACACTGCCAACTAGATCTGAGTCAAGAGGCCTGATGCTGCACAGACAGATCCTCCAGGATTCTTGCCTGTCCAGTGGGGTAAGGCCAGGGCTCAGGGACAGACGCCTGGTAGCATTTCTCAAGGTCTGCAGACTGACTCTATCTGGAATGTTCAAATACTGCTTCCCACACAGCGCTCAGTGCCCTGTCTGTCATGGCCAAGAGGGAGCAGAGCCCGAGGGGTGAGCTCTCAGGGAGGTTCCAAACTTCCATGAAGCGAAGGCAGAAGGAGGGAGGCAGGGGTAACATTTTCCATAGGGCTGAAGGCACTCTCTGTACACCACCCAAGTTATGGCAAAGCCTGCAGGTCTAACCTGTCTTAGCTCCTGTGAAGCTTCCGAGGGTCCTGGCTGCAGGGTGTCTGCGGCACCAGCTGGCTGCCAGTCCCAGGCTGCCCAGGTGTTCTGCCTCTCTCTCCTTTCTGGCAGTGGGACAGTGTCTGCCCAAGGACAAGGACACTCTGTGCTGCCGGGCTTGCTTTGCAGGGACTGCTGGTTCAGGAGTGTATGGGGACCTAGGGCTCTAAATATACCAGAGTGAGGTCACTAGGGTAGAAATAGGCCATGTGGCAAGCTCAGGGCCCTGTCAGGCTGAATCCCGGGACTGGGGACAGGGAGCTGGTGGCCTTGCTCTCCCTGTGCGACTGGCCTCCTCACCATGCAGTCTCCTTTGCACCATATCCCTAGTCGAAGGCACATTAAAGGTATGTAGGGGGTTGATTGTGTCTCCTCTCATATCCGCCCCTTCAGCTCAGTAGCTTTCTAGAGCCAGCCATCGCCCCAAATGAAAACATGAGACGAGGTCATTGTTGCTAGGGAGCAAATTGGCCCCTGGCACAGGGGCAGCTTTTTAAGAGATCTGTTGGGCACAGTGAGGGCTACTGTCGTGATTTGTGGTCACTGTGCAGTGTACACCCATACTGCCTTTAACTGGAAATGGGGCAGATAAAAAAAATAAAAAAATAAAAAATAAATAGGAATACACAATGCCAGCAGAGTAACAGCCCCCAAGAATACCCACATTCTAGTCACCGGTACCTGGGTACATGATACCTTACATGGCAGAAGGGACTTTCGTGACTAAAGGAGCAGACCTGGATTGTCCAGGTGGGCACAGCTAACAAGGTACAAGCAGAGACCATTTCCTTGCTGGTCAGAGGTATGGTGCAGAGTTGGGGCGCAAGCCAGGAAATGCAGAGCCTACCAGACGCTGGGAATGGCCTTCAGATGACAGCCATGCAGAGAGCAGGTTCTTTAGTTCTGCAGCACTGAAGAACTGAATTCTGCCAACACCTGAAGGAGCAGGAAACGAGCCCCAAAGGAGGGTAGTGTGCCAACATCTAGATCACAACCCAGGGAGACCCAAGCGTACTTCTGACCTTCAAACCTGAGGTGATGCATGCATTTTGTTTAAGCCGCTCAGTCTGTGATCATATATGAACACTTTGGCAGCAAGAGGTAAACTGATACACCATGGTGCTGGCAAAGATATAAAGATATGGGAAATAGGCTTCCTCACCTTCCAATGAGAGCAGCCTCCCGAGGGGCTGATTACAGTAGTTGGTGCGCTGGGAGCTTGTTTGCTAGCCTAAAGTCACATCCGATAAAGGTAGTGACAGCAGCTTTGTCTATAACAGCCAGTGAAAACACCTAAGTGTCCCCCAACAGGCCCTGCTCGGTGGGGCCTCCTCTGGAAAAATGAGCAAAGGGAGGAATCTGTGCTGCTGGGCATTTCAGATGAGAGAAAGAGAAGACATAAAACCCATGTTTTGTTTTTTAAATATGTGATAAGGATGTGTGTGTGTGTGTGTGTAGGGGGTGATGTGCTCACGGTGTGATTTGGGTGGGAGAAGGGGCTTACTCCAGATGTGGGCTTCCCCATTCCAGCCAGCCCACTGGAAACCAGCAGCTGCTCCGTTTGTGGAAATGTAGGCGTCCTTATTCCCTATTCAAATCCTTCAGCAGGAATGTTTTGTCAACATGTACTCCTAGGCCAAGGCTTGCTTCTTCATTAGCAGTGTCTTTTAGTAAATCTAAGTTCTTGGATTTTAATGAAAATAGTTTCCAGTTTGTCCATATTTTTTTCTTGAATGGTTAGTGTTTGGGGGTTCCTAAAAATCTTTGTCTACCCCAAAGTGGCAAAGATCTCTTGCTTCTTCTAGAAGCCTGAGGGTTTTTGTTTTCATATTTAGGTCTATGATTCATTTTTAATTAATCTTGAGGTGCTTGGTATAAGTGGAATCAGCCACATATATATTTTTAATACTATGTCTTTATTGATCTTAGAGGAAGGGAGAGGGAGATAGATTAAAAACATCTATGAGAGGGAAATGATTGGTTACCTTCCTGCGTGCACGCAGACACGCACAATCAAGCCTGCAATGCTGGCATGTGCCCTCACACACCAGCTGGGTAGCCATATACTAGTATATTTTATGTGATACTTCCCTGTGGTTTGAACTCCATTTTATTAGTGCTTAAAAGCTGCAGTTTGCTCATTTCTATGGCTTTTAAACTTCCCTCTGTTCCTTCAAATTCCTAGAGGACACTGGTGTCATCATAACGTTTGAACATATCACCTGCAACTTTCTGTATCATCCCTATCTGTAAAATGTGATAATAATAGTATACCTTGAAGTTGTAGAGACAACTAAACCAAGGTGGTGACATATGGGAACATGTATTAGTAGGACAGGGCCTGTCTTGAAGCAAGTATCATAAAAGGTTGTAATTTCTTGGTCATAAGATATACGTGCATGTTTGTACTAGACAAAGCCCATCACTCCCAGGTCAGCTGTGGCAAGAACTCCTTGGCCTTGTCAGGTACCATTTCTGCCTGGTGGGTGTGTACAGTGTGTTCAGTCTATACTTCCTGATTACTAGGAGACTTGAGCGCTGCTGCTACAACCTCCTGTGTTTTGCTCAGGGTCTCTGTGTGTTCCAGATTGGGATCATCGGGGCCTTGTGGCATCTGTCTTCTCCCATTTCACAACTTTTTGCTCTTTCTATGGTTTCTTTGGATGAACTTTCATTTGGCTTAAGGTAGCCAAATCTGTTGGATTATTATGTATCAATCTTTTATTTTAAACTTGGTAAATTTTACTTTAACACTTTAGTCTCCCACCCCATCAAATGGCAGAGTGTTCTTTGATCAAGAGCAGATCTTGTTTCATTAAAGTCATGAGTTTTGGTTGTGTGGCAGACACTCGAGAGTGTGGCCATGTACATGGACAGGAGAGTGAGTGCTGGGTGCCATGTTGCCCTGGGTGCAGGTGTGCAGTAGGGGCTTTAGAGATGCCAGCTCCACTGGCTCTTGGTGTGGGCGAGGTGGAGGGAGGGTAGGGAGAAGGACAGGGATGTGATGAGTGGCTCTTGTCTTGCAGATCCGGAACATGGTGGCGGTGTTGGAAGTCATCTCCAGCCTGGAGAAATACCCCATTACCAAAGAGGCACTGGAGGTGAGTATCCCAGCCCACAGCACATGCTTGAGGATGTCATCTTTCCTTGGGCACTGAGGAACCTGGGGTGGGAGTGGGGTTTAGTCCCAGAGTTTGGGTTCTATCCTCCACAAGATGCCCAGGGAGACTGCAGTGAGTGTTGCTGGGCTCTTTGTTTGCTGTTGCCTTTCCCACAATGTACTGTCATCCAGAAAGCTTCCTGATCTTTGCAGTCGCCTTAGCACCAGTAGCCTGCGAGATGAAACTTCTAAGAATGCTTCCTCTAGCCCTGGGACCCGAGGGTCTGAGGATTATATTTTAGAATTTAGATGTCACAAAGAACCCAAATTTCCCATAGGTTTTGTGTCTGGTAAGCCAGTGGTTTAGGGGCCACAAGGGTTCTCCTGGTCCCAAAAAAGTCCCATGGTCTTTCTCTGGTTGTAGGAGACGCGACTTGGGAAACTCATCAATGACGTCCGCAAGAAGACCAAGAATGAAGAGCTTGCCAAGCGGGCCAAGAAGCTGCTGCGGAACTGGCAGAAGCTCATCGAGCCTGTGCACCAGAATGAGGCAGTGCTGCGGGGGCTGGCAGGGGCCCCTGGCTCTGCTAACGGGGGTGCCCACAACTGCCGGCCAGAGGCGGGGGTGGCCGGCGCACCCAAGAGCATCCATGACCTGAAGAACCGCAATGACATCCAGAGACTGCCCGGGCTGCGGCTGGACAGGCTGGGCAGTCGCAAGCGCCGGGGGGACCAGCGTGACCTTGGCCACCCTGGACCACCTCCCAAAGTCTCCAAAGTAAGCCATGACTCCCTGGTTCCCAACTCATCACCTCTCCCCACCAATGGGATAGGTGGGAGCCCCGAGAGCTTCCCGAGTCCCCTGGACAGTGGCAGGCATGTGGGTCCTGAGGGCAGCTGCCTGGAGCAGGGCGAGAACGACAAGCACAGTGTCAAGATCCCCATCAATGCTGTGAGGCCGCACACCAGCTCCCCAGGTCTGGGCAAGCCCTCCGGGCCCTGCTTGCAAAGCAAGGCTGCAGTGCTACAGCAGCTGGACAGGGCGGACGAGACCTCGGGACCTCTGCACCCCAAAGGGCCGCCTCGCTGCTCCTTCAGTCCCCGGAACTCACGGCACGAGGGCTCCTTTGCCCGGCAGCGGAGCCCATACTCACCCAAGGGCTCTGTGCCCAGTCCCTTGCCTCGGCCCCAGTCACAAGATGTCACGCAGGTGCCATCACCGCTGCCACTTGCCCAGCCATCCACACCCCCTGTGCGGCGGCTAGAGCTGTTGCCCAGTGCTGAGAGCCCAGTGCATTGGTTAGAGCAGCCTGAGGGCCACCAGCGACTGGCAGGGCCACCTGCCGAGCCCATCCTATCCCGCGCTGGCTTCTCCCCAGACTCTTCTAGGGCTGACAGCGATGCAGCTTCCTCCGGGGGCTCAGACAGCAAAAAGAAGAAGAGGTACCGGCCTCGTGACTACACCGTGAACTTGGGCGGCCAAGTGGCCGAGGCAGGCGTCAAGCCTGTGCGGTTAAAAGAACGGAAGCTCACCTTTGACCCCATGACAAGACAGATCAAACCTCTGACCCAGAAAGAGCCAGTGCGGGCCGACAGCCCTGTGCACACGGAGCAACCACCCAGGACAGAGCTGGACAAACCTGAGGCCAAGACCAGCCTCCAAAGCCCCTTTGAGCAGACGAACTGGAAGGAGCTGTCACGCAATGAGATCATTCAGTCCTACCTAAGCCGGCAGAGCAGCTTGCTCTCGTCTTCTGGCGCACAGACCCCAGGGGCCCACCACTTCATGTCCGAGTACCTGAAACAGGAGGAGAGCACCCGGCGTGGGGCCAGGACGCCACACGTGCTACTGCCTCCAGGCCCATCCACTGACCTCCCGGGGCTAAGCCGCCAGGTCACGCAGAACGATCTGGACAGAATCCAAGTCCATCAGTGGCCAGGGGTGAATGGGTGTCAGGACACACAGGGTAACTGGTATGACTGGACGCAATGCATATCGCTTGATCCGCATGGCGACGACGGGCGATTGAACATTCTGCCTTATGTTTGCTTAGACTGACTGGCCCCTCAGCCTCTAAGTGCATTCCCACCTTGCAGTTAGCCGGAGGGTGGCCAGGCCTGGAAGCCTCCAGTGGTTTGGTGCCCAGCTGAGGCAGAAGGGAGGGGCGGGGGTCTAGAGGTCTCTAAGCTCTTCCCTCAAAACTCTCCTTCTTTTGTGAAATGCTGCTACCAGTTTACTAACAAAATTACAAAGGAAGGACCGCGTGGAAGGAAGGCCGGCAAAGTGAGTTCAGAACTCTATAGCAAACCAGCTATAAAACAAGTCAGTTCCCCACCCCAGAAAGGTGCGGACACTTCCCAGCATCCATGAGCTGGGACCTCGGTTGCAGGCAGGCACAGAAAACCTGTGGGAGAAGTTACCTTTAACACAGTGACAGAAGCATGCATCTCATCTCTACATTTTCTGTTCTTTCATTTGGCCCTGAAGTGTCTAAGGGGCAGCCTCATGGCCTATTTGCACCCCATCCAGCCAGTGTTTCCATCGTGGTGCCAGATGTAGTGAGCTGCTGGCATCGGGTGGGCCACCTGGTCAGCCTGTTTGACCCACACTCCATGGGTATCCATACATGAGTATTTTGTTTCAGTTCAAACTCACTTTTTAAAGAAATGCTGCAAAAATTTGTTTTCTAGAGTTTATTTTATTTCATTTCAACACCAGCCAAACAATTTTCCTTTCTACTTTTTCATTTTCCCTTTCCTGCACCTATCTAGAAAATTTCACCTTTCTAGAGTCTCATCCCCAAAACAAAAGGTTCCCACAGGTGCTACTGGTGTGTAAAGCTGTACGGTTGCAAGGAGACCTGTCTGTGTGCTGGAAACACTCATGACCATTCCTTTAGATTCGTTTGCCTTATGGTTGTCATAACGCGATTTGCAAAAACAAGGAGCCTTAGTGAATGTACAGTATCTAGACTTCTGTGTTCTCAGGATGCAGAAGGGAGCAACTTTGCTATTTGGTCCAGTAAGTGGACACCTTGTGATATAAATGTGGAAATAAAAAATAAAAAAAACCATTTGCACAAACCGGTCTGAGAATCATTTCTAATTTGGTCCTTTACAGCCAAATCTGTTTATTCTGGATGATCCAAGAAAATGTGTTCAAGGTTTAGGCCTTACAGTATGAGTCTGTACAGAGGTGGGTAGGCAGTGACCAAGTCAGCCTGTTAACATTCTTCATGAACACTGACCTCCATCTGCCTTTCATTTATTCAGGGCCACATGTTGCCTCTCTCACCTCCAGAGTAACGTACTGGCTTGGGTGATAGAGCCCAAGGGTCCACATCAAGAATGTTATCCTGTCTCCATCCAGGCCTCACCTGCCCTAGAGAGATTTTTGTGACCTTTACTTACACCCTAAAATATTTATCGTTTTTAACATGGCATGGCACAGAGCCATGTCTGGCAGCATACTTCTTGTATAACTTTTCTTAACTATAAAGGAATAATACATTTAATTCACCTTTGTTCCTGGAACAATTACTGGTTTTTAGTTTTTCCACTCCAGGATGGTCATTTTGGACATATCTACTTAATTTCATAGATGAAGAGTAGCTAACCTTTAAGAAGGGTAATCTCATAGGGGTTAACCCAGAGGTCCAGGCCCTGCTGTCTACCTGCTGTGTGGCTCACTTCACTCCTGTATGTGCCCCCATTTGGGAGATACAAGTGCTTGCTTCAGATTTGTGAAGATCAAGTTAAATGATCAAAGTTTTTAAAGAAGTGCCTCAGTAAAACCATCTGTGCTGTGGAGTGACTAGTTCCTTTCCTAACCTCTGTGTGCCTGTTTTTCTCTCTTTTTAAAAAAAATATATTTTATTGATTTTTTACAGAGAGGAAGGGAGATAGATAACTAGAAACATCAATGAAAGAGAAACATCGATCAGCTGCCTCCTGCACATCCCCCACCGGGGATGTGCCCGCAACCAAGGTACATGCCCTTGACCAGAATCGAACCTGGGACCTTTAAGTTCCCAGGCCGACGCTCTATCTACTGAGCCAAACCGGTTTCGGCTGTTGTTCTCACTCTTAATGTGGCCAGCCCTGCTGCCATGTGGATGTCTGAGGAAGTGACATTACTTTGTGACAAATGGTAATGACAAATGATCTCAACAGCTGGGAGATATGAGGGTTCAGGTTAGTATCACAAGTATATCCTTTCCTCAGACCTGCTCCCTGCTGTAGGAACCACCTCTCCTGTCTGAGTATCCAATAAGTCCCATGATAGATATTGCCTGCCTTTGAGAACCCAAGTTTAAGATAAGATTTCTCCAACATTTTGAAGATCGATGGACTGCCACTTTCTAATTTGCCAAGTAAGGACACTGTAGGAGGATATTAACACCATTTCTACCCCCAAGCCTACCCCCAAAGTTATTTAGTACATGTCTTTGGAGCAGACGAAAGTCCTTTAAGTAGTACAAAGTCATCTTGCCGAAAACACCGTCTTATTTTCCTCCGCGGGGGCCCAGGGTATCAATGGATGGGGCGCAGCACCTCCTTCTCCCAGACCCATTGGAGACAGTGCCCGAGGAGGCGGCCGAGTCTGGGCTTCCGGTCTGTCCGCCAGTGAACTGGAGAGGGTCACACCTACCGCGCAGAGCACGTAGCGTTAGTTCTTAGGTCGTGCTCCAGGGAACCAGCCACAGGAGTCCGCTCCCGGTTTGCAGGAAAGATTTAGCTTTTCACAATTTGGCTTTCCATCCCTCGGTGTCTGCCCATCAGGAATCTGGTTGAGGACGCCGGTGTTCCCAGTCCCCGAGCCAGCCCACCACTTTGCAACCCCATTGGGCTCTCGGCCTGCGTGTCCTTCCGCTTCCGGGATAGGTCCTGCCCCCACCGGAAGCTCATCCGCGGGAGGCGGGGCCTGCGCTTAGTACGTAATGGCGGGCGCGGCGGTGACGGGAGGCGGCGGCCAATGGGGAGTGGTGTTGCCTGGCGCGCCCGCCCCCTCCAGGCCCCGCCTCAGCGTAGGGCCGTCGAACGGGCGGGAAGGGGTGGCCGCTGGGGTAGGATGGCGGCGGTCCCGGGCACGGGGGGCCCGGGCGCGGCGGGCGGCGGCGGCGGCGGGGCGCGTGAGGGGGCGCGGGTGGCGGCGCTGTGCCTGCTGTGGTATGCGCTGAGCGCGGGCGGCAACGTAGTCAACAAGGTGATCCTGAGCGCCTTCCCGTTCCCCGTGACCGTGTCGCTGTGCCACATCCTGGCGCTGTGCGCCGGGCTCCCACCGCTGCTGCGCGCCTGGCGCGTGCCCCCCGCGCCGCCCGTCTCGGGCTCCGGGTCCGACCCGCACCCGTCGCCCGGCCCGCTGCTGCCGCCGCGCTTCTACCCGCGCTACGTGCTGCCCCTCGCCTTCGGCAAGTACTTCGCGTCCGTGTCGGCGCACGTCAGCATCTGGAAGGTGCCCGTGTCCTACGCGCACACCGGTGAGTGCGGCGCCCGGCCGTGGGGGGGCGTCTCACCTGGAGGCGCCTGGTCTTGCGGGGGCGTCTCACCTGGAATGCCGCCAGACTGTGAGCTGGGGAGGGTCTAGCACCCGGAGGGGGGCCGGGCCTTCGGGAGGGGAGGGGTTGAAAGGGAGCAGAGAGCCGAGTGGAGTTGGGGTGAAATCCCACAGAAAGAGAAGGGCTGCAGAGTTTTGAGGGTTTGCCAAGCTGTCTCAGCCCGCGGATAAGTTGGGACAAGAGCCTCAGGGTGGCCACCTGAGCGCCCCATTGCTTCTCTTTGCAGTCAAGGCCACCATGCCCATCTGGGTGGTCCTCCTGTCCCGGATCATCATGAAAGAGAAGCAGAGCACAAAGGTAACCCAGAAGGACTCTGGGCAGGTGGGGACTCCGAGGGCTTCCAGGAAGTGCCCAGCTGGTGACGTGGTCCAGGCTCCTGGCCTGCAGGCTGCCAGGCTTCCAGGCTTCCTGTCAAATAAGGAAGTCAGTTTAGATGGCCCTTTTGCTGTTAATTTTCTGCAGTCACCCTGGGAACAGCGGTGTGTGTGTGTGTCCCTGAGTTGTTTCTCCTGTGTGGTCTCGTGGACACTGCCCTCTCTCTCTAGTTCCATTTTCCTCCCTCTTTTGATCTCCTACCCAAAGTGTCTGGTAGATGATGTCTTGATCCCATCTTGGCCTGGCACCCTTTCTCCTGGAGTGGGACGGAGGGTGGAACATCTGACTTCGTGCTGGAATGGAGTTTCACTTCTTCACAAGCGTCAAGCATGGTCGGGTTGGAGGTTTTTGGGGTCAGAAGTGAGATGCTTGTCAAAGGAGTCTGATTTTTGGCAAAATTCATCAAAGTCTTTGAAATAAAAGCAGCCAAGAATTGGGAATGTTTGAGAATGGAAGTTAAAATAACAGACAGAACCCAGAACTGCATAAAGGAAGGTGGTCTGGGCACAATCCAGCGTCTGTTCGGGGTGCCAAGCCAGGGTGTTTCCTGCCGTGGGGCGAGAGAAGCTGTGGCTTTAGCCGAGACAGCCTTGCCCATCCATGCCCTTAAGTAGAAGTAGGTCCTGTTGTCCCAGCTGGAATGCATTTCGTGCTGGACAGAGCGCCTCTTTTCTACTTGATTGGTTTCTGGCATCCTGTGTTTTATGAGCAGCAGTGCCTTGGATCAGCTTATAGAAATTGGGCCAGCCCAAGCCAGTTTGGCTCAGTGGGTAGAGCGTTGGCCTGCGGACTAAAGGGTCTCAGGTTCAATTTGGGTCAAGGGCACATGCTGGGGTTGCGGGCTTGGAGTGTTTGTGAGGCAGCCAATCAATGATTTTTTCATCGTTTATGTTTCTACCTCTCCCTTCCTCTGACCCTTCCTCTCTGAAATCATGTGTGTGTGTGTGTGTGTGTGTGTGTGTGTGTGTGTATTTTTTAAAGGGAATTGGGCCGCTCTGGCTGAGTTTTTCTTTCAGCCTATCTTTTTCCCTGCAAGAACTGGGTGTGTTCTGCTGCCTGCTCCCAGGGTAACGTCAGATGTGACTTGTCTCCCGAGTCGGAGTTGCTCGGGAGGTGTGCAGCTGCCTCACTCGATGTCACAGCATGTTTATCAGGTTTCCCCGTTGTACAGGACATTGGACCTGGCTTGGACATGGAGCTGGAAACTTCACCCAGTGAGGAAACAGTAGGGAATGACTTGGGCAGGAGTCTGATAATGAAGGAATGAGTATGGATCCACCCTGTGAGGAAGATAAAGCAGGTCATTCCAGATCTCAAGGGAGGAAATGGGACTTGTAAGGGGAGAGTCATGTGCCCAAGGGCCATACCCAGTAGTGGGGAAGCTGGAATTCAGAGCCCTTGCTTTGACCTGGGTGGAGGCTTTGGGGGGCAAGGAGGTACTTGGGGCGGGGTGGGGGGGCATTAACCAGCCACTCCTAAAATCTCCACAGTACTTTAACAAAGTCCTTTGTAGAAGAGAGATAAGCTGGGAGTCAGAAGAGCTAAATGTCAGGAATTGATTCTATTTACCTGGAAATGGGGAGCCGCTTAGCCAGCTGAGAGCTCAGGAGCCATTGCACACCCAGGCCTGGGAAGCTTGGACCTGTGGAAGGCCTCCTATCCCAGCACATTACTCAGTCATTCAGCCAGCTGTTACTGGATGCCGCTGTGTTTTGGACACCAGGATAGAGCAGTGAACAAGGACCTTCCCTAAAGAAGTGCAGGGACACAGACTGTGTAATGGACACTTACATTTTATTTTATTTTTTTTACAGAGAGGAAGAGAGGGATAGAGAGAATAATCGATGAGAGAGATATTATACATCGATCAGCTGCCTCTTGCACACCCCCTACTGGGGATGTGCCCGCAACTAAGGTACATGCCCTTGACCGGAATCGAACCCGGGACCTTTCAGTCCGCAAACCGACGCTCTATCCACTGAGCCAAACCGGTTTCGGCTAATAGACACTTATAATGGGTGGAGATCTCTAGGCCCAGGAACTTGACAGGGTGGGGGAGGGGACGGGGGGTGGGGAGGTGGGGGGGGGGAAGTTCTCTTGAATGGTATGTGAGCTGAGGCCTGAGCAGGTAGGAGCTCTCCAGCTAGAGAAAGCACTGGGGGAGTGTCCCAGCCAGTGGTAAATGCAAGTTGGAAGAGGGACCCTGCCAGCCCCCTGCAGGATCGGGGTTTCAGACCCTGGTGTGTTGGTGGTGGCAGCTGGATAGATCTGTTAGGAGCAGCCCCAGTTGGTGGCCCTAAGCAAGGGCTCTTACTGGGGGTGATGGTATAGGGAGTGGGGCTGCCCATAGTGACACAGCCTTGCCCCAGGTGCTACGATAACCATCTCTCTGCCCCCAACCTCCGGAGCACGGCTGTCCCAGCTGACACTGTTGTCCAGAGGATGGGTGGTGCCCCTTCGTTGAAGGAGAAGAGAGCAGCTGAGGCTTTCCCCTGGGTGTCTGTGTTGGGCGGCCCAGCTCAGCTCCATCAGCCCTTCCTGCCTCTCCCACAGGTGTACCTGTCCCTCATCCCCATCATCAGCGGCGTCCTGCTGGCCACTGTCACCGAGTTGTCCTTTGATATGTGGGGACTCATCAGTGCTCTTGCTGCCACACTGTGCTTCTCGCTTCAGAATATTTTCTCCAAAAAGGTATTTAGATACTGTCTCTGGTACGATGATGTACTGGGGGTGCATGGGTAGCATTGAAGAAGTGACCGAGTAGGGATTTCTTTGGTGGTGGAGTGAAGAAAATCATGTCCTTCTTTTCTGTTGTCTTATTTTCCAAGACTGTGTTTTTGTTATTTTCCTATTCATTTATTTTCAAATGCAAGCAAAAGTTTATTTAGAAAGTCATGGGTGAGGGGGTGGGGGGGTGGTGAGAAAGTCACAGAGAAAGAAAAAGTGAGCCAGCTGGGCTGCATGGGCTCAGGAAACAAGTTCAGAGGCACAAAATGGACCTGGAGCTGAGGAGAGAGAGAGAGAGGAGCAAAGGGCAGAAGAGGGGGAAAGGTGGGGGCATGCTTCAGAGAGAGCGCAAAAGAGCAAGGAAGAGAGAACATTGTGTACCAAGAGATTATGGTTTTTATTATACAATTGACATATGCTTGATGGGGGGGGAAATAGAGAAAAGTTTAATGAAAAAAATCAGAATTGAGTACCTACTTATGTGGCAGGCACTGTAGTAGGTGCTAGAAATGAATCAGGAGGCTTGCCTTACCTGCCAAGGGGTTTCTATGCTCTTGGGTAAATTATTAATGCTAGGGGTATTTTCTGCACAGCTTTTAGTTTTATAATATTTTAGACCGGAGATCTGGTGCACGAATTTGTGCACAGGTGGGGTCCCTCGAGGTGGCCTGCGGGGATCGGCCCCAGCTCATATCCACAGCCTCTCGGCCCTATAGCCGGGCCTGGCATCCCACTGTGGCCTGGTGCTGCCCCCTGCATCATCCTGCCTGCAGGGCAATCATTCAGAGCCCGGCACCCTGCCCAGTTCCCTCACCACTGGATCTGTGGGGATCGGCAGGGCAATTAGGCCTCTGCTCACACCAGCCTTGGCCTGGCGCTGCCCACTCACCTGCTCCACCATCCACTGCAGTCCTGCTCTTGTCAGAGCCCATTGGAGCGAGCAGCACCTCCACTGCTGCACGTTGCCAGCATGTTCCATAGCGAGTGGTCAAACTCCCAGTCAAACAATTTGCATATTAGGCTTTTACATATATATAGATACATGTTAGAATTTTGTTTTGCTCATTTACTATTGTAACATTGCATTCTCTGATATCATTAAAAAATATTGCTCTTAACTCTTGTAACAATCACACTCCTCAGGTACCACAATTAATACATTTAGTTATTCTATTGCAAATGCAGGTTATTTTCAACTATTCATTGTAAGTGATGCAATAATTTTCAATGTCTTTCTCTCAGGTTATTTCCTTATGATTGGCTTACATAAGGATATAACAATAAAGGTCAGAAGATGTTTATGGCTCTTGATATGCTTTACCTGGTTGTGTTCTCAAACAGTGATGTGCCAATTTAGTGGGATTTCACAGGGCCTAGCCAGCATTGAGGCATTGGGTGTTGCTATTTTGTTTTTGCTTTGGTTTTTTTTTTGTTTTTTCTTGGTTCTTTGTGTATAAAACATTGTACTTGTTTCAGGCATGAGCTGCCTGTCCCATCACAGGTACCCTTGCAGGTTTAATAGTCAAAGGTGTGACTTCAAGGTTAATGTAAAGTCACCGTGTTTGGAGCCTGAGTAACTCAAGTCCTTGACACTGACAGTGTCGCTTGGCCTTTAAAGAGATTTTCTCTCTTCAGGTGTTGAGAGACTCACGGATCCACCACCTGAGGCTGCTGAACATCTTGGGCTGCCACGCCGTCTTCTTTATGATCCCCACCTGGGTCCTGGTGGACCTCTCCACTTTCCTGGTCAGCAGTGACCTGGTGAGTCGGCCGGCACCACGGACACACCCTGTTCTGGACTGGTTCCAAAGTGGGTGCTTTGTCCTCTGTATTGACTTGGGGGCTGCCGGGGCCTCTGACAGCCTGGTCTTTAAATACTCATCTTTTTGTCAGGGCTCACGTTGTAGGAAGTTGGCTTTCTTTGCGTTTCCTTCTCCGGCATGCTAGATCCCAGCTGCTGATAGCAGTGGCACGAAAGATGACAAGACTGCCAGCACAGGGGACTTCCCTGTCTTCATAATCTGTTCATGCCTCACCCTAACTTTAAAACTGAGTTTGTCCCTTTCTCGGTGTCCTCTCTACATATTTCCGTGTACTGCAGTTGTAGCTGTCGCTCTCTTGAGCACAGGAGGTGGTGTCTTCTCACCGCCTGTGCCGGGCTAGCCTCCAGAGAGCACGCTAGTAGCTAACGCAGGCGCAGAGATAAGGAGCTGTGCGTGGTTCTTCCACACCTGAGTTACGGAGGAGTAAATGATTATTAGGCTTCATGAGATCTGGCTGGGTTCTTGACATTAGTCTTCAGTCCTTAGCTCCGCCTGTGGCTGTAGTGGAGCTTACCTCCAGTTACCAGGTAAGAAAACTGGCTCCCTGCTCTAACTTCCCTTCCACGTTGCTTAGCTGTGATTTCTCTGTGAAGAACTTTTCACCCTCGACCAGGAGTAGTCTGTTATCTTGAAGTACAGGGCATGAAGGCAGTGCAATGCTTCTCTTCCCTTTTAATTACCATTTTCAGAGTAAAGAGTTGGAGTGACTGCAATTAACTAGTGAGTCGAAGTGTTTTTCCTTTTTTGGCGTGGAGTAGGGTTCTTTTGTTTTTAGGAAGGTGTGTGAGTTGTACATATTATTTTCATAGTAAAATTAAAACTGTCTTGACCAATCGAGTACTCTTATTGGCTCCCTGCCCTTCTGACAGCACATGTGGTTCAGGAGGATTTCCTCCTTCCTCTGTGTACCTCCAGCCCCAGGCCTGCCGTCAGCACTGCTTGGGGGACGCAGGTTGCTTTTATTGGAGAGCGGTGTGTAGCAACACAATCGTACGGTGTGTTCACATTGCTGTTGGGCTGCCATTGCTGTTAGGCCTTTGCAGTGAAACATTCAGGAAAGGAGTATTTGGGGGCAGAAGAGAGTTCATTCCAATTCTTTTCAATTCCCGTTTAATATCCCATAATTTATTACTGCTTTGGTTTTTTATTAATATCTTTTCTGGAACACTTGGTTCCTTGCAACATTTTCTATTTGGTTGTCCTTCTCCAGTTACTTACATATATGGTTCTATGTACACACATGTTGCTTCAGAGTGAGCACCTCTGGGGACAACTGCAGGTCAAGCAAGAAGTTTAAGATTTCTGTGCAGTTCTACTTGTCCGTAGAACATGTCCCATTAAAAATGTCCAGCAGGCCCTGGGTAGTTTGGTTCAGTGGTTAGAGTGTTGGCCCGTGGATTGAAGGGGTCGTGGGTTCGATTCCTGGTCAAGGGCATGCACCTCAGCTGCAGGTTCCCCAGCCCCGGTAGGGGCACATGCAGGAGGCAACCAATCCATGTGCCTATCTCGCTTCCCCTCCTCCCTTCCTTCCACTCTCTAGAAATCAATGGGGGGGAAAATCAGGTGTGGATTAAAAAAATGTACAGCAGATCATTTTATTGGAGCATTGATGAGATGCTGATATCACTTAGCCTCTGGTAAAACTGGTTTCATTCATATGTCCTTTCGCTTTAAGTCTCAGAACCTTCAGTGTCATTGAGGCCTTACTATACAATTGAAATACTCTGTTCTAAGGGTGTCTGTCAATGACAACTGTTGGGTTCCTTTTCAATTTTTAGACATTGCTTTCTCTCCACACCTCTTATTGAATGTCAAATCTTTATATTTCCAAACCAATTGATATGTCAAGGGTTTTTTGTTTGTTTGTTTTTTAATGTTTTTTGTTTGTTTGTTTGTTTTTTAATATATTTTATTGATTTTTGTACAGAGAGGAAGGGAGAGAGATAGTTAGAAACATCAATGAGAGAGTCATCGATCAGCTGCCTCTTGCACACCCCCTACTGGGGATGTGCCTGTAACCAAGGTACATGCCCTTGACCGGAATCAAACCCGGGACCTTTCAGTCCCCAAGCCGATGCTCTATCCATTGAGCCAAACCGGTCCCGGCTCAAGGTTTATTCAAAGATACATTCATAATTTCCCTCCTCCTTATACAAAAAGTGACTTTTTAGATATTTAGAAAAGAACAACTTGCTTTTTTCACTCAATAATATGTCGTGGAGATCACTCATGTTGATGTATTTAGGTCTTTCTCATTCCTCCTATTGGCTACATTATATTGATAGGTTTGATGTCAGTTCTCTTATGCTGTCCTATGTTACAGTTCTTTGGTGTCTCTATGCATACACATGCACAAAAACATATATAGGCTTAGCTCTGGTCTCTTGTCTTTGCTTTTTCTTGTATTGAGGGCATTTTTCAGTTTTCTTCTAGTGATCACGTTTTCTTTTCTCTTTTTGTCCCATGTTTTACACTGAGCTACTGTGTTTCCCCGAAAATAAGACATCCTCCGAAAAATAAGGCCTAGCGCATGGAAAGATAAGACATCCCCTGAAAATAAGACCTAGCGCAATTTTGGGAGAAAAAAATTAAGACACTGTCTTATTTTCTGGTAAACAGGGTAGTACCATCCTTCAGCTCCCTACCTTACTTTCTGCGTGCGCACATCTTGGGGCCTCCTTTCCCCTAATAACTGTAGTTCCCCCATACACGGGCCCTGTTTGGGCGCCACTTGAGGGTAGCGGGCATGGCCAAGGCATACTCAATCCCAGGCACCTTATGTGCTGTGCCAGGTCAGCTGAGTGGGCAATGAAGGATTGAGAATAGACAAGAGAATGAAAGCTGGGACTCAGTAGGATTCTGCTTCCTGACGGGGACCCACCAGCACCCGATCACCTTTTCTTTATTTTGTAATTTTCACCCAAGGTTTTTCCCCCCATTGATTTATTTTTAGAGAGAGTGGAACTTGGGAGGAGGGAGGGGGAGAGAAACATCAACATGAGATAGACACACCAATTGCCTTCTTATGTTTGTGTGGCTTTAAATTTTTTTTAAAGCACACTTGGAACCATGATGGCATTTGATCTCCACAGCGGTGGCATGGTGCAGGTTCAGCAGGGATCATCCCCGTTGCAGAGAGGTCACCACAATCAGAGAGGTCAAACAGCTGCCCAGGGCTTCCAGAGACGGGGCAGACCCAGGTCTTCTGTCTCCCCACCTCGGGAGGTTTCTTCGGATATCAGGGGCTGCCTTCCTGGGACCTCCCTGTCTTACGGAATGTATCATCTCTGCTGTGGTCTGAATGTTTGTGTTCCCCCAAAATCCACATGTTCAACCCCCAATGAGATGGTGTTAGAAGGTGGGGCCTTTGGGAGGTAATTAGATCATGAGGGTGATGGGGCCCTCATCAAGGAGGATCAGTGCCCTAAAGGGACCCCAGAGAGCATCCTTACCTCTTCGACCACTTGAGACCACCACAAGAAAACACCATCTGTGAACCAGGCCCCGCCAGACACGGAATCTCCTTGATCTTGGACTTCCAGCCTCCAGAACTAAGAAACAAATGTTTGTTGTTTGTAAGTCCCCAGGCCTGTGGTGTCTGTTACAGGAGCCCGATCAGAGTGAGATCTTACTCTGTCATCCCCAGAGCCCTGACCTTCACTGTCCAGGGATGAGGGAAGGCTTTGGTTCACGCCATGCTCTGCACCCTTTGGACACCTGATATCCTTCTCGGCGCCTCCATTCCTCAGCGGAAGGGGAAGGTGGTGGTGGTGATGTGATGGCTATCATGGTGGTGGTGGTGATGGTGGTGGTGATGGTGGTGAGGGCAGTGACAGTAGTGGTTGATGATGATGGTGATTGTGACAATGATGGTGATGTTGAAGGCAGTGATGAAGACCATGATGCTTGTGCCAGACAGTGTCGTGAGGGTTAGAGGCTGTGTGTGTATAAAGCACCTGCTGTCACACTCGAACCCATCCTGGTCTGTCCCCCCACCCCCGGCTGACCCCAATAAACCACTCTGTGCCATTCTCCCAACCTCTGCCAGGGCTGGCATGTGACCATGGTGCTGTCTTGCTCCCGTCTGTAGACCTATGTGTCCCAGTGGCCCTGGACGCTCCTGCTTCTGGCTGTCAGTGGCTTTTGTAACTTTGCCCAGAACGTCATTGCCTTCAGCATCCTCAACCTCATCAGCCCTCTGAGCTACTCAGTTGCCAACGCCACCAAGAGAATCATGGTCATCACCGTGTCCCTGATCATGCTGCGGAACCCCGTCACCAGCACCAACGTCCTGGGCATGATGACAGCCATCCTGGGCGTTTTCCTGTACAACAAGGTGAGTCTGGGATAGAGGGATTATCTAACCCACTGACACCGCGGGAGGCACCAAGAATGGTGGAGAGGGGAAAAGAAGTGGCCTCACCAGAAGCTAAGAGGCCCAGGTTCCAGCTCCCAGTTTTGCCAAACTGGTTTATGGTCTTGGCACAGCCCCTCCCATCCTGACCTGCCCCCATGGATGGCCCCAGTCCTTGCCTGCCTCCAGCTGTGGCTCTTGGGTCTACTGAGGCTTTGTCAGGATGTCACTCTCTCCTATGCAGGCTCTGTTTAGTCCCCGTAAGGACATAGGATGGCTAACAGCGAGGGCCGATCCATTAACCGTTCACTGGCCACGTCCAGCCCTGCTGGGTCAACACTTGCATGGCCTTGAAGGGCTACCTGGCAGTGAACCTTGAGCTCCCCTTTGTCTTGTGTGTGTTGGGGGAAGGAGCCAATGTCCCACTGCTCTCTTGCCCCTGCAGACCAAGTACGATGCTCACCGGCAAGCACAGAAGCACCTCCTCCCTGTCACGGCGGGGGACCTGAGCAGTAAGGAGCACCACCGGAGCCCCCTGAAGAAGCCCCACAACGGCGTCCTCTTCCCCCAGCACGGGGACTATCAGTATGGCCGCAACAACACCTTAACAGACCACTTCCAGTACAGCCGGCAGAACTACCCAAACTCACACAGTCTGAACCGCTATGACGTGTAGAGCCTAGAGGATAGGGTGGGCCGTTCTGCAGCCCCCCACGCCCACCCACCCCAGCAGTACCAGGACTTCTGACAGCTGGTGAATGTAAGCCCGCCGGGTACGGTGCGCAACCATCCGAGGACCCCGGGGTTCCCGGCCCCCGGGCAGCTGGATGCCTTCCCTGCCGTGAGGACCACAGCCCTCAGCACTGGTGTTCACGCCCTTTCTTCCTGGAGTTTGTCATCTGGGGGCAGCGGCACTACGGAGAGCGTGGCCAGGTTTTACCTTTCTGTGTGGACTCAATCCCCAAGTCGTGTATTCCGAGTTCTCGTTCTGCTTCTCGGATAGCATTTCCAGAAAATCCTCTGGAAAGGTGGCATCGCCGTGGATATAGACCCTGGCGCGGGCGAGGAGATGGACGGTTTCCCCTCCAGCCTCATGGCTATTCGCAGTAACTGGCAAACGCTCCCCAGTGAACAGCTGTGGGCAGTGAGCATTGAATTCGTAGAGGCTGATTCTTTGACCAGCAAGTCAGAGCTGTGTGTCAGGATCCAGAGGGAAGAGCGGAGCAGGGCATTGGTCCTCTCAGAGCAGTGAGGAGGAGACTAGGGCTGGGAGAGGATTCAGTGTCTCAAACTCTTATTTCTGCCTTTTTTTTGGTCTTTTTTAGTGGATCTTCACTGCTGTGACGATTTAGTAAGATGTCGAGATGTTGATTTCATGGAGATCTCTCATTTTTGTAGGAAATGTTTTGTAGTTGTGTATTTATGCCTTGGTCCCCAGTAGGAGGTGCATACAGACTGGCTTATAGATTGAAAACCCTTTTGCTTTAAATGTTTGAAAACAAAAAAAGTTCCCACTGCTGATGCCTGTCTGACACATATCAGCATTTGGTAGGAAACGAGGTGTTGAGAAGCACCTCTCAAATGACCATAATCGCTAAAAGCAGAATGAATCAAGAATACCAATTATCTGGACGGTTTGCGTGACAGACAAGAGCAGTGGTTTGATTCCCCATGTCCTATTCTTGTGGTGCTTACATTAGGATCTGAATCATGTTCTGGTGAAGGGAAAAGAGGCGAGCAGCAAGCTAGGATCTGGTTTGTCAAATCAGATGCTTTGGTCAAGAAAAAGTTGGCTTAAAAAAGAAAAAGCAGGAAAAGTTGGTTTGGGGAGGCTCACATCGTGACCTGTGTGCCAAGATCCAGGTGGGGGAAATCCATCCTTGGCATCATGAAGGACTGTTATCCTCCCTCCTGGGATCATGGCTGGGTCTGAGGTGATGCTTTCTTCCTTTAGCGCTGTCCCCAGCAGTTGGGACAGGAGTCATCCTTTATTCCCGCGAGACATTTTTCCCACTCAGAGAGTAAGGGACGGTTTACGCTTGACTTGGTTTGTTTCTGATAATTGGAATGTTGTATTTAAGAGGGTGTTTTGTCAGCTTACATTGGGCCGCTTCTGGAGAGGTCTGTGAGCTTAGGAATCGCCAGCCTCTGAAGTTCCTGTTTGTTGTCTGTTATTCGCTTGCTTTCTAATTACTTCGGCCCCAAATTTCCAGGTGATTGCTATTTGGAATCTGAAAAGGCAATCCTGAAGGGTGTTACTGGTGATGAGCTTGCCGAGTGCCTTCACCGGAAGCAGTCAAGTCTACAGCTGAATTTTTCTCAAAGTTGAATAACAAATGGGAATAATTTTGAACTGCAAAGATATTGCAGTGTTTTCTTTATGATTAGAGTAACTGACTCCGTGGACATATAATTGAACTACAAAATGAATTATGCCTCCATTCAGATTTAATGACATTTCTGATGTTGCTGAAATGTGTATATTAGTTTTTTTTCTTTTTCCAATGCAAAAATTGTTGGTGAGGGGAAATGACTGGTTTTATTATGGTTTATAAGTGAATAAATGGGATATTTAATTCTGTACATAAATTTACAGTAAGTACATACACTGGAATAAATAAGACAATCGTATTAGACCAAATTATCAAATCAAAAGACAAAGACATACTTTTGAGACTTGACAGTTCAGAGCTGACTGACCCCTGGAAGGCTGGTTTTCTGGCCACTACTGCCCTGGTCCTCCTCCCACAGTCATATGTGCCGCTGTTCCCCTCACTCCTCAGGTTTGTGGTAGCAAGTTCAGTTCAACCACTTGTGGTGTGGCCTGGCCTGCAACACAAACCCAACTCCTTCATTTTACAGAAGGGGAAACTGAGGCTCAGAGGGCATTTTTAAAGTGTTTGGATCACTGTATTGAGACTTGGTGTAGGACTTTTTAAGTCATGACTGTATTTTAAGTCATTCATTATAGGGAAAATCACACCCTTCTTACAAAGGAGAGAAGCCAGAGTATGTTCCAGTGAAGCACTGGAACTTCTGCATTTTGCTGTGTATTTGGCATAATAATGCAATAGGCCCTTTATTATTGCTGGGACGCAACTAGACCTGATTTGTTTTTGTGGGTTTTTTTTTAAATATATTTTTATTGATTTTAGAGAGGGAAAAGAAAAGATAGAAACATCAATGATGAGAGAGTATCATTGATCGGCTGCCTCCTGCACGCCCCACAATGGGGACCAACTCCGTAACCCAGACATGTGTCCTTGACGAGAATCAAATCTCAAACGCTTCGGTCCATAGACTGACGCTCTTTCCACTGAACCAAACTGGCTAGGGCTAGACCTGATTTGCTAAGGGTATAACAGCCTTAAATGGGAGAGAACGTTAAATTATTAAAGGATCTGAAAATTGTAAATTCTCTTTTTTAATTATCACCTGTTTTCAAGACTTAAATGCTGTAGACTATCCTTTGGGAATGACACTGTATGTTCATTGATGGCATTTACCAAAAATAAATGATGGTCTCTAGGGAATCAAGACTTGTCTCAGTTTGTCAGTGAGGGTCTCTTTCTGAGTGACTGTCTTCAGTGTGCCCAGCAACAAGATGAACAAGAGATATAGAAAGAACAATCTACCTGGTTCTCACTTCCAAGAGTATTGCAAACCTTATTTTCCTGAGCCAAATTTAGGGCCTGTGATTAGTGAACTTATGTCATGGTAGAATGAAACTAGAAATTCCAGTTTATCAGTTAATGACATGCCTTTATTGAAGAGAGTAACAAAATCCAAGAACGTCATGGCAGCTTGTACTTATGGAGCATTATCTCTTCATTTTTTTTAAAATATATATTTTATTGATTTTTTTACAGAGAGGGAGAGGAATAGAGAGTTAGAAACATTGATGAGAAACATCCATCAGCTGCCTCCTGCACACCCCCTACTGGGAATGTGCCTGCAACCAAGGTACATGCTCCTGACCGGAATCGAACCTGGGATCTTTCAGTCGACAGGCTGACACTATCCACTGAGCAAAACCAGTTTCGGCTGGAGCGTTATTTCTGAGGTCTAATATACCACATGCCCAATGAAGAGGTGGTTTCTCATACAATTCTTGTAATTACTTTGCATTGTTTTATTATTTAATAGATAAAAATGAGGCCCAAAAGGGTTATTTTTCTTGGATCACCCTGCTACCTAAGTCTGCCTCCAAAGTCCAGTCCCTCCATATGTCTCAGAAACCATCCCCTTCAATTGCAGTTGAAGTTGACTGAGCACAAGAGAGTAGGGGGCTTTGGCTAGAAATAAACGACAAAGATCTGTAAAGTCTTAGGGATTGGCAAATCGGAAACACAACTAAGCACTACCCAGAGTGTTCAAAGAAGAAAGAAAAACATTTCTTACAGTAAAAAGTACATTTCTGAAAAGAATTCAGTCCTGCATTCTGAGCCTCTGGCCTGGTGTGATGGTAATCTAGAAGTTCTGTGATCTGGATAATGGATGTAAGTTTTCCTAAGTCCTTTATTCTTTCCTAAGTCTACAGAGGGTTATCCATCAGGCATTGATGCACAAGTGAAGAATTTAAAAGGATAAGTCCTCCCTGGCAGGTGTAGCTCAGTTGGCTGACAGTCATCCCATGCAACAAGAGATAGCAGGTGCGATTCCGCCTCGGGGCACAAGCCCAGGTCGTGGGCTTGATCCCCAGTAGGGGTTGTGCAGGAGGCAGCTGATTGATGTTTTGCTCTCACATCAATGTTTCTCTCCTTTTCTAAAATCAGTAATAACAGGTTAAAAAAAAAAAAAGTGTAAGTCCTCACCTAGTTAAAGCAAGAACAGAACTACTTATTCATGCCTCAACCTACTTGATTTTAGTAATTTAGCAACCTGACTATACTGACTCAATTTTCTTCATTTTTCCCCCCAAAGGGTATGTTTCTATTAAAACAACTGCCTATAACTTTTTAATTCATAAATATTTTGTTCAATGATTTACTGAACCTTTAATTTGTACAGAAAGCTAAGATATATAAGCATTCTACCTTCAGAGAATTCTCCTTAATTTATACAGCACATAGGTGATTTGTTGTAGATACATGAAAAAAAAATGCTAAGGAACATACAGGGTAGAAGAGTATATGCGAATGTTTTGACTTGCACTAATAATTCACAAGGTATTTTTACACATTTTGTATTCTATGTGCCTCATTTAAACATCAGAACCCATGTGGGATGTATTAGCCTCATTTTATAGAGGGAAATAGAGAAGTTGATTTGGCCCATGGAGCAGGCCTGGAACCCAAGAGTGTCTGACTGCAAATCCAGGGCTCTCTGCTGAACAGAGCAGCCATAATAGTGAACTTGTTTTCTTCACCTACGTCATATACTTCTAAGAGTAGCTGGTGTGATCAAAATATACCCTGGCCCAGCCATTGTAGCTTGGTGGTTGAGCCTGGATCTACGAACCAGGAGGTCATGATTCAGTTCCCGGTTGGAGTACATGCCGGTTGCAGCTCGACCCCTAGCCTGCACATAGCTGCATTCCTCACCCCAGCCCTTCCCCTTTAGAATCCTGTCCTCTGAATCTTGCTGGAAGGCAGGATGTGATGCTTGTAAGTACCCTGTCTTCTTGGTTGGCTGGCCTTCTCAACAAACGCCTAATATGATTCAACTCTGCCTTAGTTATTGGACACCAACAGGCAGCCCGAGCCCAACCAGGTGTTCCTGGTGACAGGTATAAATCCACACCAAGTCATATCCAGTCATTAAAAAATTACAATACAGATTCATCCTGTTTTGGTTCAGAGATCCTATTAATCTAGCAAATGCTGTATATCTTCAATTCACAAAAATTCATATATGCATGATACTATGCTACTCTGAAGTCTATCCATGGCGGGTCACAAGTTAAAACTTCTCGATATAGACCTTTACTGACATGGAAAAATACACTGTCCAGATGACTAAGCATCATACTAAACAGAAAAATCCCACAATGTGACCCTCTGCCTGGAGTGTTCACATAGCTAGCTCCTGACTAGGATCTGGTTACTGGAGAACTTTACCACTGTAGGCCCTGCCTCCTCCCTTATCACGGTCTCAGCGCCCGTTGTTTCCTTAGTAACACTTCTGTCTTACGTTTACTGATTTATACCTGTCTGCTGCTCCATCCCCCACCTCATAGACTAGGTTCCTGAGAGTAGAGCTTAAGTCTGACTTGTTTATTCATAAGCCACATCTAACACAAACACAAACACAAACACACACACACACACACACACACACACACACGCTCGCACGCACACACACATGCACACACCCCTCACCAAGAATATTTTTCTTTCTTTTTTTTTTTAGAAAAAGCAGGGGAGAGAGAAACATGGATGTGAGAGAGACATATCGATTGGTTGCCTCCTACATGCACCCCCACCAGGGACTGGGGACTAAGCCTGCCACTGAGTTATGACACTGGACAGGTATCGATGCTCTGTCCACTGAGCCAAACAGGCCAGGATTTTTTCGAACCAACACTGGTCTTTACAAGTGAACATTTGCAATCCTATATAATAATCCTATGAATAAAAGGCTAATATGCAAGTTGACCAAACAGAGGAACAACTGGTCGCTATGACGCACACTGACCCACAGGGAGAGTGGTGCTCAGCCAGAAGCCGGGCTCGTGGCTGCTGAGCGCATTGGTGGTTGGTGGTAGTGGGAGCATCTCCCATCTCCACAGCTGCACTAAGGATGTCTGACTCCTTGTGGGCCTGTCAGTCAGACATCCCCTGAGGGCTCCCAGACTGCACAGGCCGGGCTGAAGGACCCCCCCACACACAACCTTGAGTACAAGAATTTTGTGCACCAGGCCTCTAGTCAATTTATAATCGAAAAGACTAACCTGGAAACTCAAAAAGCATTCCATTCTTCTCATTAATAGACCTGTAATTTTAAAACTGTACTAAATTATTACATTTTGAATTCCACCAATAAAAAGTACCTACAAAGGCCCTGGCTGGGTAACTCAGTTAGAGAATCATCCTGATATACCAAGGTTGTGGGGTCAATCCCTGGTCAGGGCAGATACAAGAAGCAACCAATGAATGCATAAGTTACTGGAACAACATATTGATGTTTCTCTCTTTCAAATCAATAAATACATTTTGTTGTTAATCCTCACCCAAGGGTATTTTTCCATTGATTTTTAGGGAGAGTGGAAGAGGAAAAGACAGAGAGAAACATCAATATGACAAAAACACATTGATTGGTTCCCTCCTGCATGAGCCCCAACTAGGGCTTAGCCTGCAATCAGGTATGTGCCCTTGATAGGAATCAAACCCAGAACCTTTTGGTCCATAGGCTGATGCTCTATCCACTAAGCCAAATTGGCTAGAGCAATAAATACATTGTTTTTTAATTAAAAAAAAAAAAAAGAATCTACATAATATCCTCAATTTTGCCTCTTGACCCATAGAGCCTAAAATATTTGCAATCTGGCCCTTTATAGAAGTCTGCCAACCCCTGGCCTAAAGTAATATCTGGCAATCCCAAAGTGTCAAAAGGAGACATTTTGTAACAATAAAAAGTGTATCTAAAATATACATCAGCCGAAACCGATTTGGCTCAGGGGTAAAGCGTCGGTCTGCGGACTGAAAGGTCCCAGGTTCGATTCTGGTCAAGGGCATGTACCTTGGTTGCGGGCACATCCCTGGTAGGGTGTGTGCAAGAGGCAGCTGATCGATGTTTCTCTCTTATCAACGTTTCTAGCTCTCTATCTCTCTCCTTTCCTCTCTGTAAGAAAAATCAATAAAATATATTTAAAAATAAAAATAAAAAGTATATCAATTTGCATAGAAAAAATGGACAACTAAACATCAGATGTCCACAGTGTGTTCTGGTTTGCTGCTTACCTTTCTCCACAATTAGCATGCGTTGATTTCATTCTCTTATAGAAAAAGGGACCACATAGTAACTCTGACAAGTTCAGGGGAGGTCTGCATGGCAGGCCTTACACCCAGAGACAGAAAGTAACCGCATTGGGTGGTCCGAACATAAGAACTAACTAAAGGCAGGTCATGGCAGGTAGTTAGTTATGACCCAGGCCTGTAGCTTCCTTGTCAAAAGTCAATCTTAAACCTTATATGAGCCAGTCCAATTTTCTTTTTGCATCTAAGATAACATACTTTTTTTTTTTTAATCCTCACCCAAGGATATGTTTTTTTAAATATATTTTATTGATTTTGTACAGAGAGGAAGGGAGAGAGATAGAGTTAGAAACATCGATGAGAAAGAGTCATCGATCAGCTGCCTCTTGCACACCCCCTTCTGGGGATATGCCCGCAACCAAGGTACATGCCCTTGACCGGAATCGAACCAGGAACCCTTCAGTCCCCAAGCCGATGCTCTATCCATTGTGCCAAACCGGTCCCGGCCCGAGGATATGTTTTTATTGATTTTTAGAGAAGTAAAAAGAGGAACATCAATGTGAGAGAAAGATCGATTAACTGCCTCCTGTCCATGCCCTGGACCCAGGACGGAACCCCGAAATCTTTCCGCGTACCAGCTGATGCTCCAACCAACTGAACTACCTGGCCAGGGCTAAGATAGCATACCTCTGAAATGTGATGATAAAAAAGAAAGAAAAAAAGAAAGGTGGGGATAATTTTTCTAGACCCCACAGGGCAAGAACTCCTCAGTGTTTCCTTGTTCCCCCGCATACCATCTCTACGTGCTGTAAATGTTAGCTATCCCATACCACGAATGTAAAAGTATGTTTCTGTTTTGCCTTTATACCCAGTCCCAGATTATTCCCTCGCTTTGTTTTCTCCAACTCCCTTAATCTACTACCACCGATGGATTTCATGTAACCCTCTCTGCCGCTCCTCCTTTCATTTTAATGTGTAAAAAAAAATAAGCTGCTGAGCTGCCGTTCTCCAGACCATGTTCTCAATTCCTTGAAATTTTGCTCCCCCGCGATTGTCAGTTTGGCTCAAATTCATAAGAATTCTCTACAGGTTTGGGCGTTTCTTAACGTCCACATTCATTTTAGAAGTTATGTCACCGATCCTTTCAGGAAGGCAGGCGGTCTGGCAAGCGAGTCACGGAAGGTCGGCCGTGGGCGCCCCACTCACGCCGAAGCCACGCAGTCCGAGGCCCGCGGGGGTGGGAAGGTCCCGCCGCAAAGTCTTCCTTACCGCAGGGCCGGGTGCAGCGAAGGGAGCCGAGTGGGAGGATCTTTGGAATCTCAGGAAGCCCAGTTCCATCCTCACCGAGCCCGGCGACTCCGGGTTCCGTTTCCACCGCGGGGTTGGCCCGGAGCCTCCCAGACTCACCTCACCTCGCAGTCTCATCCCTGCAGCTTCCGACAATACAACGCAGGCCCTGACCCAGACGAGGACTCCCCAGTCCCCTTGCCCCGTGGAGAAAGCGCCTCACCAGGCCCCCGGGCTGCAACGAGGCAAGCAAACAGCCCCTGCTACGGATAACGGCCGGCTCGGCCGTTCCTGCGGTCTTGCGGCGGCGGGAGACAGAGGCCCCTCCGCGCACGCGCAAAAGAGCCCCTGCGTCTGCGCACCCCTTGCCCCTCCCGGGCGCTCGGCCTCTCGCGGCTTCTTCCCGCCCGCCTCCCACCCTCACTTCCGGGGTTTCCCGGCGACGGCCGTAAGTGGCGGACGGAAGCGGCCCACGAGGCCCGCCGTAAACGGCTCCCTCGCGCCACTTCCTGCCGGCTTTCACAGACGGCGCTGGTGGGGGATCGAGAGGCACCGGAGGTCGTTCCCGGCGGCAGGAGCCATGGAGATGCCGCTGCCACCCGACGGTGAGGCCCAGCGCGAGTTAGGGACCGTTTCTCTCTCCCTCGGACCCCCTGTTGGCCTACCCCGCCTCCTGAGGTCCCCGGGCCTAGGAGGGGGCGGGGCTCGGGCTCCCGGGTTCGCCTGCGGCCTCTCCCGCGGGTCTCCGCATTCCCGGCGCGCTTGTGGCCCCTACCAGGACCCGTACAAGGGCGGCCTCTGCGGGGCCCACCCCTAGAGATCCCGACCTGGCGGACGGCGGCTGGTGCGCCTGGGCCCCCGGATTTGGGCGGTCCTCGCTGACGCCCCGCGTGGCCTTTTCTCCGTTCTCCAGACCAGGAGCTTCGAAATGTCATCGACAAACTGGCCCAGTTCGTGGCTCGCAACGGGCCCGAGTTTGAGAAGATGACGATGGAGAAGCAGAAGGACAACCCAAAATTCTCGTTTCTGTTCGGAGGCGACTTCTACAGCTACTACAAGTGCAAGCTAGCGCTGGAACAGCAGCAGCGTGAGTCCTCTCCAGCTCTCTGGTCGCACCCTGGAGCGATTTCTTTCTTTGATACCAGTGCAGGCGCGGCCACAAACCGCCTTCTTTTGGGTCGCATGCTCTTCCAGGTTGTGGAAGCTAGGCCTTCATGATCTCTTCCGTTGTTCCCAGGCCTGCAGCAAGTGGTTGCTGGGTCCGAGTGTAATGGGGAAGGAGGTTATGGATCCACCTTCTGGGCTCGAGATCACGGTTTTGTTTTGTTTTTTTATTGTTTTGCAAACGTGATGACTAAGGTCAGCAGAAGTAGTGATTGCTTAGGTGTTTACCAGGAAAGAAGTGATAGAGGCTGGACTGAGACTCTGTTTTGATCCACTGTTGAGCTCTCTTCCTGGGTCCAGCGAGGTTTTTGTGCATTTCAGTTGCTTACAGTCCAAATCAAAAAGCATTGTCCCTTTGGGTTTTAGTTCTTTGCAGAGGTTTACAATGTTCACTGAGTTGGACATCAGGATTCTGGTCCTGCCCTCAGAGGATTTAAGATGGAGTTAGAAATAACAGCTGGCTTTTGAATAACAAATAGCCTCCAGGTGGTAAGGTCCTACATCCGTTTTGTAATGATTACATTTAAGTGAGTATGGGATTGCTCAAGTTGATGGGCATTGAAAGCTGAATGTTCCCTGGACTATAAATGCCAGACTTCGTTTTGGATCATTCTTGTGCCCTAATACATAGTACACAGTAGCATTCAATAAAGAATTTGTAAGAAACTGCTAAGGTACAGTGGCTTGAACAAGCGCGGCGTGTTTAGGTATCCATGGGAGAAACCATGAGAGGTCCAGCATGGCGGGAGCACAGAACATGTGTGGAGGAGGGAAGCATTTGGTCTGGAGTGGAAATGCCAGGGAATGTTTGGGTTTTCACCCTCAGTTCAGGGGTTCTTGTGCATAGTTATGTTTGGGATGGGGGTGAGGGTGACGAGCTCCTGAAATTGCAGGCAAAATGTTGTGTGTGCTTACATGTCTGGAGCAGTTACTCCTCAGCCCCTGCACACCAGTTTAAAACTTCTGCTACAGGAAGTGTGAAGTCATGAGGTAATTTGAAACAAAGGAGTGATGGGTCAGGTTCATATGGTCAGTGTGGCAAAGCTGGAGGGAGCAGGAGTGGAGGCTGGAACCAGTGAGGCCAGCAGGGAATCAACAGGGGCATTTGATGGTAAAGGTGTGAATTAGGTCAGTGGGTTGAGACTGAGGGACTCAGTCTGGGAGGAGTCTGGAGTTAAAAGGTCGAATCGATGAACTAGGACACCAGATGAACATTTTGACATAACCAGGTAGGGGAGGACAGTGCTTTGGCCGGAGTGACCCTGCTCACTCACCCTGCCCTGAGGGTTAGGAATTCAGAGCTGCTTGGGACTTGGTAACCTAGGAAGGATAGGGTGCTTCTGACAGGGGAAGATTGGGGCTTGCGAAGTGTTTTCTGCAGGTAACAATATCTAGCTGTGATTGAAGAATGCATAGACAGAGCCAGATGGGAACTGAAGAGAGAAAAGTGTTCAGGCAGAGGGAAATGCTTTAGGAGGGACCAGGGAGTGGAAGGGACGAGAGCTGAAGGCCAGACAGAGAAGGAGGGGTTCTTAGATGGCTCAGTGAGGGTGCAGAGAAGGGAGGGCTGGCTTGCCAAGGACTTAAGACTCCTCCTGGGAGCTTTGGAGGTCTCTTGAAGGGCTGGTTTCAGGTCTGTGTTGTGGAGCAGGGTTAGTCATTGTAAAGACTGAGGCCCAGGACTGTTCTAGAACGGTGTTAATGCAAACTCTGTTGAAGGATTCATTTCTGTTTTTTAAAATTCTGTTGTAGAGGGCATACCTTTGCAAAATAGAGTAAAAATGTGATCCATAAAAGCATCAAGTACTCCTACACCACTTCTGTATTTGTGGAATCTTTCACCTGACTTCTCCTCAGACCACACTTTGAACAGCATCACTCACTATATGGCCATGTGGAGGGGACCGGACTGGACTCAGGGAGACCAGTTTCAAGGGTGATGCAGGTGACAGGAGAGTTTGGTAGTGACAGCAGGGACACAGACCAGAATGTGATCTAGGAAGCTGATGACAGCACGGGTTGACTTGTCAGTGTGAGTGCAAGGGAAAGAGGAGGGTCTGTGCTTTCTAGGCTCTGGCTTGGGTGTATGGGCATAGCCATGCCAGCCACAGAGATCAGGGGTGGGGCTTGGTTGGTTGGAGCATGGGGCAAGAGGATATGCATGCCTGTGGAAAGCTATGGGCTGTTTGAACTGTAATTAGGTCCAGAGCTCAAGGAATCTAAGGTGAACATGATAGATTTAGGAATTATGGTATGCTGATTGTAATTGCATTCCCCTGGGGGTTTCAGAGAGAAGACAGCCCTGGCATCCCAGCAGTTAAGGGTCAGAGAGAAAGAGGAAGGGGCTGAAGAAGTGGCCACACAGACTGAGTGAGACAGGCACCTCTGACAGGACCATCAGGCTGAATAAGGATACCCTCAAGGGCTGGGGGTGGGGTGGGGGAGGAAATAGGTGGACAGAGCCAAACTTGCCCTGGGCTACAGAGATTAATTGAAATGGAATCTTGGCTGTAAAATTGTTGAGATGAGGGGTATGTGATTAAGGGAGAGTTTTTAAGACAGACGGGTATATTTAGGGGCTGCTGAGAAGGAGTCAGAAAGGAAAAAATGAAGAAATGAGAGTGAGAGAACAGATTTACTGAAGATATGTCTCTGGGAGGTGGGAGAGGATGTCCCTGATGGTTTCAACGCCAGAAGGCTCACCCAGACCTAAGAAGTGACTGAGTGGCCCCGAGATGGACCTGGACTAACCCCATCTGTTCTGTCTGCCTGTCTTTGTTCAAAGGCCAGGTCCCCTTGGGGTGGGACTCAGCAGGGTTCCAGAAGTGCATGGTTATGTTCAGACTTGACAGACCCAGTGGCCGATGGGGAGACCACATCCCACCATCCAAATTTCTGTCTCTTCTCATCTGGCCACATTCGGGGCACACACCCACCTGACCCAGTCTCCTACCAGTAGGATGGTCACCTCACCCTGGCTCAATCTCAGTTGACTCTGAGGAGTTCCTTTCCCCAAACAGTCAGGATAAGGAAATCAAGAGGCATGTGGTGATGGGCCACAGCATGTGCTCAGGGTGCTGGTCTGCTATTTTGGGTTTCCTGGCTGGGCGTCAGGCGGCTTTGATAACCTGACAGTAAAGCATATATTAGGAGATGGTGGCAGAGAGGCTAAGGGACTAGGAGAGATGCTCTTGGAGGTAGAGCTTTGGCCTGTGTTTAGCATCAGTGTAGGCCTTGGTGAGGAGGGGAGTGTGAAGGGGATGGGCTCCAGCTTGGTCTGTGCCAGAGGACGCTGGGCAAGACAGGCAGTGTTGGAAACAGTGGCAGGGTTACAGTCCTGAACTCTCCAAGGAGAGGGCTGGTAGGTGGTAGATGGGACAGGGGAAAGGGGCTGGTTCTAGGCTCTGGGGGAACGAGAGAGGGGTGGGAGAGCCAGGCTGAGTGTGGGTGGAGCCTGGCAGACTTTGGTGGGAGTGGGGCTGCAGCACAGTGCAGAAGTCCTCTTGTGGATTGTAAGTGTAGGGAGGGGAACCCCTGTGGCCGCCCAAGTGGCAGCCAAGGAGATACCTAGACCCCAGCCACCTTCTCACAGGAGCACCTTTTCTCCTCTTCCGCCAGTCATCTGCAAGCAGCAGGCCCCAGAGCTGGAGCCAGCCCCAGCACTGCCCCCGCTCACACAGCCTCCGTTGGCCCCTGCTGCACCCATCCCACCCGCCCAGGGAACCCCGTCAATGGACGAGCTCATCCAGCAGAGCCAGTGGAACCTGCAGCAGCAGGAGCAACACCTGCTTGCCCTCAGACAGGTACGGGGCCTGCTCCTCTTCCCTTCCACTCCGTCAGCCCTGAGGAGGCCTAGGGCCCTTCCCCTTTCCCCTTTTTGTCTTTAGGTGGTCTCTGGAGCTCACCCCATGCCTCAGTTTTTGTGTCTGTATATTGGGACTCACAAATAACTGTCAGGAGGACTCATCACCAAGCATCAGTGCTGTGGAGAGTGCTGCCACTACCCATGGCGTGTTTAGCCCAGTCCCTCTGGCCAGAGGTTGCTTCTCATTGCAGTGAAATCATTACCCAAGCTGTCTGCTGGGGTGGACACCTATGAGTGGGACTACACGTTAGACGTTGTGTAACAGGATACCATGTGGCCTTTGGTGCCATTGGCACCAGTTCTGGCTAGCCAGGTCACTCCAAGCTGTTGAGGGGAAGGACCCTTCTGTCCTGATCCATTACAGTTCTAATACTTGCGCCAAATACAGTAGGATGAATCACAGGGAAAATGAGATGAATTAAAAAAAATAATAAGAAGGCATCTAAAACACCGGCCCCTTTTTTATTACTGTACTTGAGATTACTGTCATATTACTGACAACAAAACATGCCAAATCACTCACCCTGGATGGAGCTTCTCATAAGATGGGTGGGCCAGCCTCGGCCAGCCCTGATCAGACTGCCTGTCCCCACCGATGTCCCATAGTTCAGCAGTCTCAGTTTGCCAGTCTAATGAGGAAACTGCTCTCCTGTTTTAATTTTCCATTCCGTGGGTGCTCTCCTTTCTCCTGACTAGTGACCATCCTTAAGACGTCTCTGTGCTGTCCGGTCACTTTCCTTTTGTGTTTAATTAGCCTGCAGAGGTCCCTTGTTCCTCTGGGTCTTAATCATTCCATCTGTCACTGGCAAAGGGGTAGACATTGTCTTTCCCTCTGACTCATCTTGTTCTAACCTCTGCCTGCCGTGTCCGTGACTGCTCCAGGTGTGGGTGTGAGGCTGTGGGTGTGAGGGAAGGGGCCTTCTGCTGCTGTGGGGGACACTGATGGACAGTCTCGGTCTCACCTGGCCTCCCAGGAGCAGGTGACAGCAGCCGTGGCCCATGCGGTGGAGCAGCAGATGCAGAAGCTCCTTGAGGAGACGCAGCTGGACATGAACGAGTTTGACAACCTGCTGCAGCCCATCATTGACACGTGCACCAAAGATGCCATCTCGGTGAGGACAGTGGGGCCGGGTGGGCCCAGTGCTCCCAGAACCTAGTATTCCTGCCAGGTGAGAGCCCACCAAAGCCTCGGCCAGGACTGCTGTAGCGATGCCCCATCTATTCTTGCCCTCCCCCCTTGAGCACCTCCAAGAGAGGGGGAAGGCAGGCAGAGGCTGCAGCATGAGCCGAGCCCTCGGGCACCACACCCTCGGCTGGCACCTGCCCATGCTCTGGCTGGGGGAGCCCAACTCTGCTCACCCATTGCTCTGTCTGCCGCAGGCCGGGAAGAACTGGATGTTCAGCAACGCCAAGTCCCCTCCGCACTGTGAGCTAATGGCAGGCCACCTGCGGAACCGCATCACAGCTGATGGGGCGCACTTTGAGCTGCGGCTGCACCTCATCTACCTGATCAATGACGTGCTGCACCACTGGTAAGGGCCTCTTGGGCCCCGCTTGCCTTCCCTCTTCTGGCCCTCTTGTGGCCACTGTGCTGGACTCAGGATGTGGGTCATTTGTCCAGAGACCCTGGGAGAGAGTCATCTGTGCCACAAGCTCCTCTTCTTCCCACTCTCCTACCCCCCCCCCTTTCTCCTCCCCTGCTCCTCCCACCTCAGCCTATCCCTGGATTCCCACCCATCCCCACCTCTCCTAGGGCCACTGTTTCTTCACTCCTTACTCTCTTAGGGCAAATTCGGGTATCTTTCAGTATCTCTGTTGGCTATCAATGATACACATTACACACCCTCAGTCAGCTGACTCTGCCCTGCATCAGGGTCCTTGATGCTGGGTTCCCCTTGCTGACCCTATGTCCCAGCCCACCAAGACAAATCCCCCACCCTCACTGCCCTCCCCAGGCCAGTGGAATCATCTGCACTGCCTTTGGGAGCCTTATGACAAAGGTTAAGGAACCAGATGCCTGGGCCAAAGCAGGCCCCGGGAGGAGACAGGCAGAGGAAGCAGGCAGTGTGAGCTTGGCCAGTTGAAGGGCATGGTGCCCGTGAGGGCAGCAGAAACTGACCTGTCCCTCTCAGTCCTTTGCCCTGCCCTCCTCACGCCAAACTCAGCCGCTCCCTACACCATCATCCCCTTATTTTGCATGTGGGGAAATAAACAGCCATCTGGAACTTTCTCTGCCTTCCTGCTTTTATCTACCCCTCTTCTGACTCCAGGCAGCTCTGCAGAGACAGCCCTGTCCTACCTGTCCTCCGCCTGGACTGCTCTCCCTCCCCTGACCCACTTCCCTACTCCAGGCACTTGCTCCAGTCTGTGAACTCTCTCTGGTGAACTTGGTGTTGGGAGGGGTTCCAGCCACTTGCCTCATGCCATCTGGGCTCACTGCCATGCTGGGGGTCCCGTGCCACCTCTGTACAGCTGCAGGGACCTCCACACCCTATTATCCTCAGAGTGCCCCCTGAAGGATGTGGGGGCAGCTGCCTTGCCCTGCCAGCCACAGGTCCCCAATGCCAGGCACACTTAGCACACTCCCTCTGCTTCTGAAACACGGGGCCCAAGTCAGAGCTTTCCGTGCACATGGGATCAAAGTGCTGAGCAAGGCCACGTAGACGGGGCCCTGAGCCCACCGCAGCTCTAGCCTGTCCTTTGGGACAGTGGGATCCTCACAGGCTCTGTGTCTGTTCATTCTTATGCCAGGAGGGAAGGATTATTTACTAGCAAAAGGAGATAGGCATTGCTCTGAAGGTCCCCACCCTGTGTTTTTTCCCTCCCACTGCTGTTGAGGGCCCAAGTGCCAGCACAGGTCTTGTGGGGATCCCAGCCCTCGTCCCAGCCAGGTTGGGGCCCGTTCCCTGAGAAGGCAGAGGGTGCTATGGCTGGAGCCACGATGGTAACGGGCGCGTGGCCGGGTCCCGCCCCAGGGCCCTGACGCGCGGAAGGTCTCTCCCTCACAGCCAGCGCAAGCAGGCCAGGGAGCTGCTGGCCGCCCTGCAGAAGGTGGTGGTGCCCATCTACTGCACCAGCTTCTTGGCCGTGGAGGAGGACAAACAGCAAAAGATTGCCCGGGTACGTGGCGCAGCCTCTAGGGCAGAGGAGGGTGGGCAGCGGTGGGGCATGATCGCTCATCCCCCACGTCCCTGACATGATCGCTCATCCCCCACGTCCAGCTCCTGCAGCTCTGGGAGAAGAACGGCTACTTTGATGACTCCATCATCCAGCAGTTACAGAGCCCAGCCCTGGGGCTCGGCCAGTACCAGGTGAGTGCCACACCTCCCGAACTACACAGGGCCAGGGTGGACACCACCCAACAACTTCCAGAATCAGGGGCCCCACCTCCCCCACCTGGGCTGGGAGCAGCTGATGGAATGGTAACCTCAGAGCCCAGGTGTGCCTCTAGTGAGTGTTGAAGGCCAGGGTCTGAGCAGCAGCCTCGGGGGATCCTGTCCCACGCACGGGAAGCGGAGTACCCTCCCTGGGAAGCTTCCTGGGATGCTTGTGACCCAACTTAGACCCTGTTCTCAGGGTGTCATTGGTGTGTTGCAGTGGTCCTCCAGGCACGCATTCACACAATAGGAAGGAAGGGAAGGATACCCAGGTAGTCTAGGCTGCTGTGGCCATCACCTGGAGGTGATGTGTAGTCGGTGTTCCCTGTACACGGCACAGGGCAGGCACAGGGCAGAGGGTCTTCGTGGTCCCTTCTACCATGGTACCAGTATTACTGCCCTATCGGAGCTTCTGGAATAAAAGGCACAGCTCAAACCCTTTCTCTCGGGCTGGAAGGCCTGGCTGAATGTCAGGAGCTCTGTGCGGGCTGCTTCCCTCAGTGTGGGTCCTAAGTGCCATCCTCTCCACGGGACAGGCTCTCACGCTCAGAAACAAATGAGGAAAGTGCATCTCATACTTTCTCTACGTTTTACCCATTTTTTCTTAAGTTAAATAAAAATGGACTTGTATAACTATACAACAGTTAAGGCTGCTTTTTTTCTTCCTGAGTTCAACTTAGTAAACATGATAGCTTGTGTTTACTAAGCCTCTACCATACTAGTCCCTTTCCATGTGTTATTTGCTGACTTCTCCCTGAAATCTTCAGCAGTTGGTCCCAATGTTGTCCCATACTGCAGATGAGAAAAATTGAGGCTCTGGGAGGTGGTGACTTATTCAAAGCCAGGCGGCAAGTCAGCTCAGCCCATGAGCGTGTCTCAGGACATTTGTCAATGTTGTATGTTTAAAGTCTGCGTGGCCGTCCAAGGCACAACTATCATTGCCTGATTCCATTATTGGAATTCTAAACTGCACTGCACATCACCAAGATTTTGGCTAGATTCAGCTGGTCTGGTTGTCAAGACCAAGTTTATTGGTTTACATGACGGTCACCTGCCAGCCTGCTCCAGCCTCTGGGCCTCACTGCCCCTGGCAGCACCCCAGCTTCCCAGAGCTTTCCTAGCATTTGTCCCCAGCTGCTCTGGAAGGGCTGGGCCTTGAGGCTCGAGCACTGAGTGGCACTGCCCTTCTCTTCCTACTAGGCAACGCTTATCAATGAGTACTCCTCGGTGGTCCAGCCAGTGCAGCTGGCCTTCCAGCAGCAGATCCAGACCCTCAAGACGCAGCATGAAGAGTTTGTCAACAGCCTGACCCAGCAGCAGCAACAGCAGCAGCAGCAGCAGCAGCCGCAGATCCAGATGCCACAAATGGAAACTGAAGTCAAAGCCACACCACCACCACCCGCCCCACCGCCAGCCCCTACGCCCGCCCCAGCCATCCCACCAACCACCCAGCCCGGTATGTGACCCCCTGTACCCCCCTGGGGGCTGGTCCCAGAGGGCATCTTTCCCCCAGAGAAGGGCTCTAGTTTCGGAGTCTTCAGGCCAGATTCTAATCAGTTTAAAGCAATAGGCTGGGGATCTCACATTTAAATGTAATAAAACTTTTACAACTCAGTTCTCCTTTATAAACTGTCCCAGAGAACAGACAAAGGAAAGCTGCCCAAATCATTTTCCAAGACCAAAATAACTTTCTCACCAGGGCAAGGACAGAACAAGGATTACAAATATAATACAGTGTCACTTGTGGATAAAGATGCAGAAATACTAAACAAAATTTTAGTAAGTTAAATCCAGCCAAGTATCTTTAAAATATATTATGACCAAAACGACATGTCCCAGGAATGTTTATGAATGGTTTAACACTGAAGAAGTCTAATCAAGTAACATCAAATGGAAGGAAATGATATTTGCATTAGTAGTAAAATTCAGCAGTGATAAAAAAAAAAAAAAAAAGTATGATACTTTTCAGAAAAGAAGTGTGTCCTGCTGCCTTCCCAGCAGTTTTCATAGGGTCATGAAGCAAGGATTTATCAGGAAATGAAGCCCCGTCTGGGCTGCCCGGGAGTCCACTGATGACTGTTTTGGGTGGTACCTTTTGCTGCTGTGGCCTCCACTAACTGCCTTCTTGCCTGGCTCCAGATGACAGCAAGCCTCCCATCCAGATGCCTGGTTCCTCTGAATATGACGCCTCAGGAGGGGTCCAGGACCCTGCAGCCACCGGCCCCCGGGGCCCTGGGCCCCACGACCAGATCCCACCTAACAAACCCCCGTGGTTTGACCAGCCTCACCCCGTTGCTCCTTGGGGTCAACAGCAGGTATTTCTTACCGGGGCAGGTGAGCATGCTGGGGCCTAATGAGACTGATGACAAGGGTGGCGGCCAGCCTCTGTAGGTGAGGGGCTTTAGCCACTTGCTGGGAGCCTTGGAGCTCTGCAGCGGGGTCTCGGGGAGAGGGTACGATAGCCTCATCTTCACCTGGGATTAGGTGAAGCAAGAAAGTCAGGCCTTGCCTCCTTCTCTGGTGCTCTGATCATTTGGGATGCTCAGTGACAGGTCCCTGTTTTCCTGTGAGTGCAGGGAAATTCCACTTAGTACAGAAGGGGGCTCCCTTTCTTTGCCTTCCCTTTTTTATTTGTTTGTTTGTTTATTTTTATTGTTTATTTTTTTGACTCATTCGACTGGCAAAGTGTCAACATCTTGTCACCCTGGAAAGAACATGGTGCTTTTATAAGGAGGTGGAAGTGTCGGGCAGCATTTTCTGGGGCTGAGATACTGGTCACTTCCTCTCGTTTCCTTGGGGTCAGAAACTTCTAGGCAGCGACAAGGGTCATCTCATCCAGCATAAGAGAACTAGGAGGCTCACAACAGGGTCCCCTCATCGAGGGTCTGCCCCCGGTTAGCAATTCGTAGTCAGATGCCATGGCCTGGCAATGCCCATGAGGCATCTTATACGTTTTGAAATGATTGCCATATTTAAAGTTTGGCTTTCTGGCTTTCTGAGGGTATGGTGGCCTGGGCCAGTCTCTGGTGGTAGTGGTCAGTGGAGCTAACCAACTATGACCCTAGGGATGAGCTCTCTGATTGGCCTCATCTGGACACATCCTCCCTGGCTCTTGAGTCTGGGCTGCAGTAGCTGGGTGAGATTAGAGCTCATGTTGTCTTCAGCCTTCAGAAACAAGTTTCCTGGGTTGGACCTAGGAGCAGACCCTGAAATAGGACTTGAGGGCAAGTAGTTGAGTGGGAGATGGCCCAGGAGAACAGCACAGGGTAGAGGGAAGTTATGAACTGTCTTCAGGGTGGGGGCCTCTGGGGCTCAGCCACTACCCATACTCTGGACACAGTGGGGGAGGCACCTCTGTACTGTCCACGAGGGGATGAGGGGTGGGGGTGTTCGGATTCCCTGTACATGGGGCCTATAGACAGTCCTGCGTGAGGACCCAGAGGACTCAGCCATGATGGGAGTGCAGAAACGTGGCGGTCAGGTTATCGGCATGGACAGAGGGGCCAGTGCTAGGGCAGATGCCACGGCATCCCCTGTGCACGAAGAGGAAACAAAGCAGCAGGGCAGCGCCCAGCAGACCATCGGCACGCGGCACCGGGCAGTGCGAGGCTGGATGGACCTCAGGAGTGTCTAACGTCTGCTCTCTGTCTCACAGCCTCCCGAGCAGCCCCCCTACCCACACCACCAGGGTGGGCCACCCCACTGTCCGCCTTGGAACAACAGCCATGAGGGCATGTGGGGTGAACAGCGAGGGGACCCAGGCTGGAACGGCCAGCGCGACGCACCCTGGAACAGCCAGCCTGACCCCAACTGGAACAGTCAGTTCGAGGGGCCCTGGAACAACCAGCACGAGCAGCCGCCCTGGGGTGGTGGCCAGCGAGAGCCGCCCTTCCGCATGCAGCGGCCACCACACTTCCGCGGGCCCTTCCCACCCCACCAGCAGCACCCACCGTTCAACCAGCCGCCGCACCCCCACAACTTCAACCGCTTCCCGCCCCGCTTCATGCAGGAGGACTTTCCCCCGAGACACCCCTTCGAGCGGCCCCCCTATCCTCACCGCTTTGACTACCCTCAGGGGGACTTCCCTGCTGGTGAGTGTTTTGCATGTTTGAGGGCCAGTACACAGCCCTCTCCTGCCCCTGGTTCCTGGAGAAATCCAGGTTGCTGCCAGAAGGAGGCACCTGACAGATTGGCCTCCTGAGCAGGCGGAAGGCCCTGCTCTTGGTCTGTGGTGTGCACCTGATGTGCCCAGAGGCAGGGTCATAGGTTGACAGAGAAGAAGAGACCACACACCAAGCCGTAGAGGTGTGACACTTTGGTCCCTCTTCCGAGGAACAGGCACTGTCTCTGTCCTGCGGAGAAAGGCAGATAGACCCCAAAAGGAAAAGTAACCCCAAGTGCCCACAGCAACAGGCACCGAGTCCAGGGCCACACCGCTGTCATAGGATTGGTTTCCTGTTCCTTGTCCCAACAGTTTCCATCAGCTTCTCTACTTTATTATCTTTGTTTTTCAAAGAGACTTTATTTCAACTTTCTCTTTTTAAAATAAAATTTTATGTTTTTGTTGATTTCAGAGAGAGGGAGAAAGAGAGAAACATCAATGAGAGAATCAGTGATTGGCTGGCTCTTGCACATCCTCTACTAGGGATGGAGCCCACAACCCAGGCATGAGCTCTGACTGGGAATCCAACCATGACCTCCTGGTTCATGAAGTTGATTTGATGTTCAGCTCCTGAGCCACACCAGCCGGGCTTAAAATTATTTTTACTGTAAATCTGCCTCTACCTGAAATCCTTCGTTGGTTATAAATTCAGCTCAGAGAGATCACTTAGTTTGTTACTTATGTTAATATCCTGGGGTAGCATGACAGTCCCATAGATTGGGTGGATTCACCAACAGTTACTGTTTCCAAGTCTAGGAAAAAGGTTAGTTTCCCCTAATGTCTTGTAGATGGCTACCTTCTCCCCGAGTCCTTACACGATTCTCTCTTTCTACCTGTCTTATGTCATACTGAATCAGGGCCCATCCATATGACTTCATGTTGTTAATTGCCTCTTCAGAGGGAGAGTTAGGACTGGTGGTGGTGAATGCGTGGGTGAGGAGTGGGGAGGAGATACAATTTAGCCCATAATATTGCTGTTAGAAGGTTCTGTGATTTCCCTGTGGTTCCTTCTTTAACCTACGAGGTCCATCAGGTGCTGTTGTGGGTGCCAGCCCCCTCCCAGCCTCGGCTCCTCCCCCTTGCTGCATTGCCTGAGCAGTGAGTGAAGCAGTGGGAGGGAATTTGATGGAAGGGCTGCTCAGAAAGTGGGTGTTGGCATCCTTGCTGCTCTCTGAGGTCCTTGGTGCCCCCCAGCTTATAAATTCCCTGTGAGCCTGAGATAAGTTTCTGTTTTGCAGAGATGGGACCTCCTCACCATCACCCTGGCCATCGCATGCCACATCCTGGGATCAATGAACACCCTCCCTGGGGGGGACCTCAACACCCCGACTTTGGCCCTCCTCCACATGGCTTCAACGGGCAGCCGCCCCACATGCGGCGACAGGGTCCTCCCCACATCAACCACGATGACCCCAGTCTGGTCCCCAACGTTCCCTACTTCGATCTCCCCGCCGGGCTAATGGCCCCCCTCGTGAAGGTAAGGTCTGTGCTGAGTGCCAAGCTCAGTGGGACATGCTCAGGCCAGTGCCTCTGTCTCCATGTTTAAAGCTCATAGATGAAACAAATTTCCCGTAGACAACAAAACTGCTTCCCCAGGCCACTTCCTCTCATTTCCCTCTCCCCACTGAACTTGTCCAAGCCAGTCTGTGAGAACACACCCAAGTCAGTGAAGCCTGTGTCCCCTTGATCCCTCTGCGTCTTTCTCCTGATGTTACGAGTTTGGTGCCACTTGGGGCGGGCTGGGTTGGGCGTGAGGCACGGGTCCTCTTAGTATTGGTTCTTGGAAGCCACCTTGTCCAGGGGTTGATGGCGGAGGGGTTTTTCAGGAAAGGGGTAACCTCGGAGGTGTGCCTTCGTGGAACCTGGGCATATGCATGTGAGGGGCGAGGTGAGCAAGGAGCTGGGGCAGGCAGAGGGACTAGCGGATGAGCCAGTTCCTGATTGTGGGAGGGCCCTCAAGGGAGATAACAGAGCGCTAGGCAGGAAGACAAGGCACAGAGTGGCACCTGCAGGTGGAGCATTGGATTCACACCTGTCCATGGATGAGTCAGGGCTCTCTCTGTCCCCGTATCCTGAAGGCCGTGTTTTCTATGGTCATTTTTTTGGAGAAAGAATTCTCTGGCTTTTATCAGCCTCGAAGAGGTGGACCTTCCAGTGAGGGCTGGGTGAGCACTCTGTTGCCCAGGGCAACTTGAACACCAAATCAGGCCCTGTCTCCTGCACCTGCACCTTTCTGGGTGGGCCTGAGGGGGGCTCCAACAACATGTGGCGATAGCTGTGTCCTCCACTGCAGCTAGAAGATCACGAGTACAAGCCCTTGGACCCTAAAGACATCCGCCTTCCACCTCCCATGCCACCCAGTGAGAGGCTGCTGGCGGCCGTGGAGGCCTTTTACAGCCCGCCTTCCCATGACAGGCCAAGGAACAGGTACGGGCCCGGGGAGACACAGCAGTGGGGCCAGTGATGGGAGGGGACTGTCTTCCCCTAAGTTTGCTTCACAAGAAAGACTCTTACCATCCGTACCTTCTACCCAGCATGGTGTGAGGCCCAGGTGAGGAGTGTGGTGTCTCTAAGAGAAGTTGCTTTATAGGGTCCGTTTCTCTCCTGACTGGGCGATGTGTGTTACACGTGGTGGCCCTTGGTGAAAGGCTTTTCTACTTGGGACACGTTTTCTGCTGCACATCCAGGCTTTGTCCTGGGTCCCTTTCAGATACCCTCCCCCGAAGGCCTGAGCACCAGTCCAGCTGACATTGCTTCCTTCCCTGTGCCAGGCACAGGTTCCCATCTGTGTCATAGCCCCTGCTTCCCAGTCATGTTACCACAGGCCCTAGGACCCTCAGCTCTTTCTTTCAGCTGCAGCTCAGAAAGGCCCAGAGCCGGTGGTGTCAGGTATACAGCCCAGCCTCTCCACTTCCCAGCAGGTGTCCCGACCTCAGCCGGCTTCCTCACCGAGAAAGCGGGCCCCAGAAGGGGTGTTGCGTGGGAAGGACAGCCCAAGTGCTCGGCATCCGGGGGGGGGGGGGGGAGGGCGGGTTGTGGGTAGGAGGCAGCCTCCTCCCTCCTGATGAGTTTTCCCAGTGCCCCTCGGGAAGGAGGCTGTCGTGGTCACACTGCCCGTCTTACAGCGAAGGCTGGGAGCAGAATGGCCTCTACGAGTTCTTCCGAGCAAAAATGCGGGCCCGACGGCGGAAAGGCCAGGAAAAGAGGAACAGGTAAGGGCGTCCCTGCTGACTTGTGTGGAGTCGTCATGCCTCCCAGGCTACATCTTGTCATGCATTGGCTTAGAGTGACATTGTTCTGTCACACCCTAACGTGTTGTATCATGCCCCCAACACCTAATGTCATAACACATATGACATCACCCCCAGTCAGTGACAGAGGAAGTCAGGTCTAGCCCCCTCTGTTAGAGGGCTAGGAGCCCTTCCCACAGCCTGAGTTAAGACGCCAGCACAAGAGAAGTTTGCTTTGGTCTGTATTCACCACGCTGTTCAGGAATGTGACGGTGGCGGCGGCGGTGGCGGTGGTGGCGGTGGTGGTGTGAATGGCGGACCCCTGGGTCATTCGCGGTCTGGGGTGGGGTGGCAGGCTCGGCCGGTGTGGGAGCTGGGAGCTGCTGCTCCAGCTCACCAGCCTCTCCCCGCAGCGCACCCTCGCGGTCTCGGAGCAGATCCAAAAGCCGAGGGCGCTCCTCCTCTCGCTCCAACTCGCGGTCTTCCAAGTCGTCCGGCTCCTACTCCCGGTCCCGGTCCCGCTCCTGCTCCCGCTCCCGCTCCTACTCCCGCTCCCGCTCCAGGTAGGCCGCACCACCTCGGGGCCCGGGCCTGAGGCGCCAAGGCTGCCCGCTGACCCGCAGGGCGTCCCTCCTCCCCCCCCCCCCCCACAGGAGCCGCAGCCGGTCCCGCTCCTCGAGAAGCCACTCGCGCTCCCGCTCCCGCTCCCGCTCCAAGTCCTACTCCCCGGGAAGGAGGCGTCGGTCGCGGTCCAGGAGCCCCACTCCGCCGTAAGATTTCTGTCTTAACTGTCCAGCGAGCCGCTGGGAGCGCTGGATCCTGAGGCTTTGCTGTGAATGTTGAAATGTGTCATTGAGAAGACATGCTCGTGGTGGCCCGTGCTGGCACAGGCCTCAGGTACACCCAGCGTTAATGCAGGGGCGTGGCACTTCCTCATCTCACACGGTGGTGCTGGGCTCTGTCTCTAACCGTTTAGGGGCTCGGGGTGACCCACCCTTGCTGCACAGTGTGAAGCGGGGCATCACCTTAGAGAGTGCCCGTTATCTGGCTTGTGAAGAGGATGAAGAATAACAGACACAAGTGTGTGTGTCCATCCTGCACTGTGACTGTTCTCATATGCCACACCCTGTAATACTCTAAGTTTTCATTCCAATAAATATACCTGCTCTTTTTTAAAAGATGTAACCTGTCTTAATTTTAGTTCCTCAGCTGGTCTAGGTTCTAACTCAGCACCTCCTATACCTGACTCCAGGCTTGGGGAAGAGAACAAAGGACATCAGATGCTGGTGAAAATGGGTAAGGTTCCAGGGAAGAACAACTTGCTCTGGGATTTTGAGGTTGGGGATGATGGCTTCAGAGGAAGTCCCAACTCTCCACCTTCTCTTTGAAAGAGGGCGGGCCTGCTGGGCTCTGCTGGGCACTCTTTACCAGCTTTGTGTTTATAAACTGCATTTATGCACGTTACCTCCCCAGATGCCTAACTGTGCCAGGATAAAGGCACCAGATTGCGGTTTTGTAGGTTGTAACCACTCGCCCCTCTTTCTTCCTAAGGCTGGAGTGGATCTGGTGGCCTCGGCGTGAAAGAGCAAGGGATCCAGGACCCCATCAAGGGGGGGGACGTGCGGGATAAGTGGGACCAGTACAAGGGAGTGGGAGTGGCCCTGGACGACCCCTACGAAAACTACCGCAGGAACAAGAGCTACTCCTTCATCGCCCGCATGAAGGCCAGGGACGAGTGCAAGTAGGCTGGTGAGGAGCCGTGCCATCCGCGGCAGCTGGCAATGGGACCTTCCTGGCTACTGGATGTGGAAGATGGTAGGGACCTCTGTTCTCACACAGCCTCCATTTTTGGGGAGCTACAGAAGAGGACAACCATAGCATACCTAGTGGCCAGTGCCATGCTCTACTGCGGGAGGCACAGGCCCCACCTGCAAACCAGCTTCACACAGAAGGAAGATTCACGTGAGGACACCCTGCACTCATTCCCTGGACAGTGAAGCGAGAAACATGAGCCTCTCCCCTGGACAAGAATCCGGACACCTGTAGGAATGGACTTGTCGTCTCTTCCCAGTCAGATGGGAGTCTCTGCTTAAATCAGCAAGCATGTGTGCAGGCGGCCTTGGCGAGCACCGGGGGCCCGGACTCGGGGTGCAGGGGCCAGCTCTACAGCCTGCACCTCCCACTTAGGTCGTGACAAAGCTCAGGCCAGGCGCTAGTATTGCTCACTCTTTAACAGGAAAAACAAAACCTTGATTTGCAACATTAAACAGGGTTTTCATTTGTACTCCAAATGGTTTAGTTTTTAAAAACACGTTGATCTCAGATGATCCCCAGTGAGATAATTTGGAATTTGATTCCTCCAAGACATACTGGCCCGTAGTTATTTTAGTTAAGTTGAATTTTTTTTTTTTTTTTTTTTTTTTTAACATTAGCCATTTGCTGTTATCTCCAGAAAGAAAAGGATCTAAGGAGATGGATCTGAGACATCTTCAGGTCACAGGATGATACCCGTGGAGGACCTGTGCCCTTAATGTCTACTTGTGTTTTTCACTTAAAAGAACCCCAACACCAGCACTTGCTGCAACAGTCCATTCAGACCCAGTGTGGGGAGGGGCCACAGGCCATGCCTCTTTCTCTGTCACTTCCTTCCCCCCCCCAAGCTCCCCCTCCCACCACCGGGAGGTGAGGCCTGGAGGGAGCCGCTGGCCACACTGGGATCTGCTGCACTTGGTACCTTCAGGCAGTAGGTGCGGTGCCGTTTATTTGTACAGAAACATTTTCAAAAAATTCTTTTGGATAAGATGCAAAACCTCCAACTTTTCAACCTGATGTGATAAAATATTTGATTTTGTTCTAGGTTTCCTGTAGCTGTGAATTGTTTAAATGTGTCTGATTCAGGATATAAAGCATAAACACGTGCTGTTAACAATTTCTTGTGGGTTTTACTGTTTTGCCTTCAAATAAAGACTTTTTCATAAAACCCTTTTTCTTGGTGTGTGGAGCTCAGAAGGGAGGTGTGTCTGAGTGTGGACGTTGAGTTGTAGGCTCAGGTCAAAGCTCTGCCTGGTGTCTCACACCAAGTCCCCGGAATGGACCCCTGGCCCTGTGTTCTTGTAAGTAAATGGGACTCTCAGCCCCAGCTTGTTGGGAAGCCAGTGCCGGTCCACGGGGCTCCAGACAGCCCGGCAGCCTCTGTCTTGCCATGAGCGGTAGGTTTCCGGGTTCTGTTTCCACCTGTCTGTCTGTCCTCAGGGGCCGGGAGGGGAGTCCCACTCGGGTGAGGCCTAGGTGCCACCAGCCCCCTCCCACATTAAACATCCCCTGGACACTGATGTATTATGGCTGGAGTACGAGACCAGCTTGTTAGAACCACAAGCCAAGCCTTACCTGGTGGTGTTCACAGCTCCTCTCTCACCTCCTTCAGAGCGTCCTCCATGGTCAGTGGGGCGGGTCTGTGGTGCCTGATGTACTGCGGAGCAGAGGACAGACAGGGACATGTCACCACCACGCCGCAGCCTATGGGGCTTTGGGAGCTGAGATAGAGCCTGCCCCAACAGTTCCTGGTCACACTGACAAAAAATGACAGGTGCCATGTGGGGACAGAAGAGAAGAGAGGAGTCCTGGCTGAGTCTGAAAGGATGAGTGACTGCTGTCAGGAAGGAAGAAGGGCTGGGTGCCCAGAGCAGGCAGCGAGAAGCCATGGAAGCCTATAGACAGCAACGTGGTCAGCTCACCAGCCTGCGAACAGTCAACTGATGGACATCCAGCAGAGGAACGAAAGGAATCCCACCCACGATGCAATCAGCAAAGTAGAATGTGGGAGGCTGTCAGACAACCTGCTTTCTCTAACAAATAAAAGAGATGGGGGTGGCCGAAACCGGTTTGGCTCAGTGGATAGAGCATCGGCCTGCGGACTGAAAGGTCCCAGGTTCGATTCCGGTCAAGGGCATGTACCTTGGTTGCGGGCACATCCCCAGTGGGGAGTGTGCAGGAGGCAGCTGATGGATGATTCTTTCTCATCGATGTTTCTAACTCTCCCTCTCTCCCTCTCTGTAAAAAATCAATAAAACATATTTTTAAAATAAAATCATGAAGAACAGTTCATATAATATGCCATTCCTATAAAAAAGTATACATGTAATATATATCTAGTGCATTGTAATGTATTTTATATGTTATATATTATAACATGACATACGTTACACATCAAAGAGTTCCCTGCTGCCCTGGGCTGAGTGCTGTCCCCGTGGTCAGAGCCCTGCCTTCCCTCCCTCTCCCCGGAGCGGGTAGCCGTGCCACAGTCACCTCTTTGGTTTCCTCCAGGGTGTGGTAGTGGAACGCGTCTCGGTCCAGGGACTGCAGGAGGGACCCATGCAGGTGCCGACTGGCCTCCATGAACTGCTGCGTCAGGCTCAGCTGCTGCTTGAGCAGGTCATTGAGTGCGAACACGGCCGGGCTGTAAGCTGTCAGGGCTGCCCCAGCACCGAGTTACTGAGCAGCCCCTGGGCCCTGTCCTCCCAGCCCAGTCCAGTCCCTCATCCTGTCAGCATCAGCTGCTTTGGGCCCAGGCGCTCTGCAGGCCCCCCTCCCTCCGGGATGTCTCCATGCTTTCCAGAAGCAGTGCCACCTGGGGAAGTAGGGAAGGCTCGCCTGTTGTCTGTTCCTAATAAATGAACTGCCCTCTACTGACTGTGCGAACCTCAGAGCTCATATCAATGCTCACCCTAAGGCAGATTTCAAAGTCTTCACCTCCACATCCAACACACAGAAAGGTTAGTAAATTGACACCCATATGGGAAAGGGGGTAAATTTAATTTATGTGTTTTTTAATGTAATTCAAAAATTTAATTAAATAAAAATACAATTAGAATGAAAACTGCAGTTGAAACCGGTTTGGCTCAGTGGTGGAGCGTCGGTCTGCGGATTGAAAGGTCCCGGGTTCGATTCCGGTCAAGGGCATGTACGTTGGCTGCGGACACATCCCCGGGTAGGGGATTTGCAGGAGGCGGCTGGTCGATGTTTCTCTCTCATCGACATTTCCGGCTCTCTATCTCCCTCCCTTCCTCTCTGTAAAAAATCAATAAAATATATATATATATATATATATATATATATATATATATATATATATAAAAAGAAAACGGCAAGTGTTAAAAAATTATCATTAATCAATATACAGTAGAGGCCTGGTACATGGATTCATGCACTGGGTGGGTGGGGTGGCATGACCTGCAGGGATCTGCCCACTGTGGGAGTGCAATGACCACCAGGGGGCAGCTCCTGCATTGAGCATCTGCCCCCTGGTGGTCAGTGCATGTCATAGCGACTGGTCGACCAGTTGTTCTGGTCATTCCGCAATTCAGTTGCTGGGCTTTTATATATATATGTGTGTGTATATATATATATATATATATATATATATATATATATATATATATATATGGAAAAATCTTTGAGGTTAATATTAAGTTTTTAAAAATCTCTTTTTAAACATACAAATGTTTCTTTTGTAACAATTACTATATTTTAATATCTTCATATTTTTAAAATTTTAAGAAAACTAAAATGGGGGGTGGGGAATAGTAAGTACTAGTGTAACCTTACTGGTGCCATATGAGCCATCAGTGGCCACATGGGGACCTGGAGAAGTCTGTGCTCCCTAAGAAAAAGGCTTTTGGAGAGCTGTTCGTGTGTCTCCCAGCCTGGGGTGGGTCTCCCTAGGCTCCATGACTCCCCCAGACTCAGCAAGGAGGCCAGTCACCACACAGGCTGAGTGTCTTCAGAGGAAAACAAATAGTGGATTCTGGATTAAAAGTCTCAAAGGGGAACATACGGAATAAAAATAGCCTGGTGGAATGGTGTGTTACTTATAACCTTCCTCTTCTGTCTGACATCCGTCTCCTTTGGCAAGACAGACGGGAGGTTCTTGATCACTCAGTCTGTCGTCTGGGATCCTAGGAACTGTAGCAGCTTCTGTGGTTGTGACAACCCCCACCAACGGATTCCTCACACCCAGCACTGAACGTGGGCCCACTCCAACGGTGGGGGTGAATTTGCAGATGAAATGCATCCACTTCACCACAAGATGGGTGGGCTGTTACCTTCTATTGCATCTGCGCTGACGACATGACTGGCGATGGGTGTAGGATCCACATAGGCACTTCCCAGGGCTGGCCCGATGGTCGCCATACTGGCCTCTGTCCCAAGGGAAAAGGGGAAGGGGTAAGCGGCCAGATTTGGAGCAATGGCTTCTGTATGGCAAAGCCTCCCAATCTAAATGAACCGGTCCAGGAGAATTATACCCCCTGCTCAGTCCAGGAACAAGCTCTGTCTATGCTGAAGATGTTGTCTAGATGAGACAAGGGAGCAAGACAATGCTTAAAGAAAAGGGAACTTTTGCGCTGGCCAGTGTTGCTCATTGGTTAGAGTGTTGGCCCACATACTGAAGGGTCTGAGGTTCAATACCTGGTCAAGAGCATATACCAGGGTGGTGGGTTTGATCCCTGGCCCTGGTAAGAGGCAACCAATCAATGCTTCTTTTGCTCTCTCCCTCCTTCTCCCTTTTTCTAAAATCAATGGGAAAATATCCTTGGGTGAGGATTAAGGGAAAAAAAAAAAAGGAAAAGGAACTTTCTTGCCATAAGGGAAAGTCCCACTGGGCATGAGGAGAAGGGCCCCTATACCACAGAAGAGAATCTACCCTGCCAAGACCGGGTTTGGCTCAGTGGATGGAACGTTGGCTTGCAGACTGAAAGGTCCCAGGTTCGATTCTGGTCAAGGGCATGTACGTTGGTTGCAGGCACATTCCCAGAAGGGGTTGTGCAAGAGGCAGCTGATCGATGTCTCTCTCTCATCGATGTTTCTAACTCTCTCTCTCTTCCTCTCTGTAAAAAAATCAATATATATATATATATATATATATATATATATATATATATATATATATATATAAAAAAGAGAGAGAGAGAATCCACCCAAACACACCAACGTGAGACCGCCAGCTAGTGCAGCCTGGGAGATCTGCACTGGCTCCAGGAGCTGCCAGAAGGCAGTTTCTATGGCAACGCTGCTCCCCCAGGCCCGCCCTGGGCACCACTGACATTTGGGGCCACATCACTCTTTGGTGGGGGCATCCTGGGCACTGCGAGGTGTTAGCAGCATTCCTGTCCTCCACCCAGCAGTCACAGCCCCACATGGCTCCGGACCTTGCCAACGTCCCCTGTGGCCAGAATCACTCCAGTTGAGAACTACCGCCTTGGCCACTGATTCTGGAAACTCATGATGTTTGAGTGCTCGGAAGAGAAGAAAACACGCAGGGCAGCTGCCCCTCGTCTGCGTAAGAGGAGAGCAGGGCACCGAGGACCCCAGCTAGTTAACCACGACAGCCAGCCTCCAGACACGGCGCTCCTTGTCATGCCGCCAGCTGCCCACTGCACAGCCCGAGTGCCCGTCGCTGCCGCCGAGGCCTGCGCCTCCCTCCTCGGGCACTCCGGCCTCACACTTACCCTTTGTCCACTGGTAGGTGAAGGCGGGGTCGAGGGTCTGCACAGCCTGCTCCTTCACTGTGACTCTCATCACTTCCGGGGCCCACTTTCTCCGAGAGGCGCCTGTGGGTGGGGGCTGGTCTGTCTGCAGGCTCGCAGAGAGTTCAGACCAAGAGGCCAGCGTCCTGTCCAGAGACTCCTCAGAGTGGGTTGTTGGCTCTGATGCTGTCAGGCTTGGGGAATCCTCAAAATCTTCCGAATAAGCCAGGCTCACCGTGCCGGCTGGAGGCTCCCCAGGCGCGGGGCTCAGGCCAGCAGCACGCTGGGGCGCAGCAGAGGAGGCCGAGGGCTCGCTCAGGTGCTCGGAGACCTCGCTGCCCGTCGGGGGGCCCCTGGTCCCGGGGCTTTTGCTGGGTGCCTTTTCCCTCAGACCTCCTTTCTGAAACGAAGGACAGTAGCGATAACTGGGAAGTGGGTTCGAGTGATGAGCGTGCTCCAGATACCCCTGCCTCAGACGAGGTGTGGTGCCCCTGGGGGCCCTCCTGGCGAGGCCCCCGTTGGTCCTCTATCGATGTGGGCAGCGGAGTAACTGAGCGGACTCCTGCCATGCTTCAGCACGGGCTGCTGCACCTGACACTGCTGGTCTCAGTATATGGGGAGCACTTGAGTGAGATCTGTTAAAGTGTCGTTATTGTGCAGTATCGATGCCTTGGATGTTGAGGTGGTCACTAATAGGACAAGAATCACAACGGGCAGTGGAACAAGTCAGACGGGTGTTGCTATGGGTGATTCAATGGGACCCGCTTTAACTGTACGAAGTAACTTCGTCCTGTTATCACCGAAGTCGGGCTCTCTCCTGTGGCACTTGACATTTGAGAGCCAGACATCCTTTGCAGTGGGGGCCGCCTGTGCCTTGCAGGGCGCTGAGCAGCACCCAGCCCAGCAGCCACGAGCAGCACACCCCACCGCAGTCATGACAACCAAAAAATGTCTCTACTGAACATAAACTGTGCACCTATGGATGAGGACAATGGGGAGTGGGGAAAGGGCAGAGGGTGGGGTGGGAACCTGGTGGAGGAGAGCAATGGTGGTGGGGGGGAAGGAACATTTGTAATAATATGAACAATAAAAACTTATTTAAAAAAAAAACAAATTTAGTAAAGTACGTTTCTTAGAGTAAAAATAAAATAAGTTTGAAAGGCAAAAAAAAAAAAAAAATGTCCGTAGACATCACCAAGTGTCCCCTGAGGGCACAGTCACCTCCTTCCCCACCCCCGTTAAGAACTGCTGACCCAAAGGAAGTGTAACAGTTGCAAACCTTCCTAAGCAGACTTACAGTGAAAAATCAGACAGTTGTACTTACTTTCTGTTCCAAGTCCGATTGCGTGCTGACAGCTGGAGCCAGATCATCAAGGGATAAAATATTTATTCTAAAATCTATAATTAAAAATGTAACATGATAATATTTACTCAATTATTTGCTCCATAAATGTTTCCCATCGCCAAAACCGGTTTGGCTCAGTGGTAGAGCGTCGGTCTGTGGACTGAAAGGTCCCAGGTTCGATTCCGGTCAGGGGCATGTATGTTGGGTGCGGGCACATCCCCAGTAGGGGGTGTGCTGGAGGCAGCTGGTCAATGTTTCTCTCTCATCGATGTTTCTAGCTCTCTATCTCTCTCCCTTCCTCTGTAAAAAATCAATAAAATATATTTTTTTAAAAATGTTTGCCATCATGTTGTAGGCACTGGCCTAAGCACTAGCGATGGGAAGATGGGGAGACATGCCATCCCTGTGCTCAGTAAGCTAGTCCAGGGGATCTGCACACTTTTTCTCTAGAGTTAGATAGCAGCCTGGCTGGCCCTCCCACCTACCCATTGAAAGACCAGGTCCAGCTGAAACTGGTTTGGCTCAGTGGATAGTGCGTCGACCTACAAACTAAAGGGTCCCAGGCTCGATTCCGGTCAAGGGCATGTACCTTGGGCACATTCCCAGTGGGGAGTGTGCAAGAGGCAGCTGATTGATGTTTCTCTCTCTCTCATGGATATTTCTAACTCTCTGTCCCTCTCCCTTCCTCTCTGTAAAACAAAACAAAACAAAACAAAACAAAAACAATAAAATATATATAAAAATACAAAAAAGAAGAAAAAAAAAAAAAAAAGACCAGGTTCAATCCAGCCTGACATTCTAGCCCAAGGACTCGCCTCTCCTCCAAGCTCCTCTAAGACAAACCGTCATCTCAGCTCACACGGCAGGTAGGTCCAAACATGCGATCACAGACAAAACCTCTGAGCTGAGCCCTCCCCGCTGGCCCAGGGCAACGGCCCAAGGGAGTCGTGGCCTTGAGCACCTGGATCGGCGCTGGCACTGGCTGAGAAATAACATCGCTGTCCGGTCACCAATCTTTAAAGGCACGTGTGAAGCAGGGCCAGCGGAGGCACTTCGCATGCACAGTCTCCTGGACTTGGCTCCGTCCGCTTTACAGAAAGGCCAAGCCTGCACAACCAGGGACCAGTGGGTTAGGATGTCCCCCAGGCATGTCGGACCCCAAACTTGGACTCGGACTCACCACTCAGTCCCAGCTGCCTCCCTCCCTGGAGGCTGCAACTGGATGAGGGTGGGCGGGGTCTGGTCACCAGGACAGACCCCTCCAGGCCAGCAGTGGGGCCGGAATGGTGGGGATACCCACTCACCAGCCCTCAGGCCCACGGATCCTGCCAGAATAGGCCAGGCGTCAGATGGCATTTGGCAGCCCCTCAAAGGGGTCTTCTCGTATCACAGCCTGAACCCGCCCCCTGCGTGCTCTGACCCTACCCTAACCAGGGAGATGGGAGGGGGGACTTTTGCTGGCAGTGCTTCTTCCTCCCCTCAGCCCCTGGGGTGGCACCGTGGCAGAGTGAGTGTTTCAAGCTGAAAGAATCTGAGGTTGGGCAGGTGCTGCAAGGACACTCCCTTCTCCCTGCAGCAGGTCTGAGTGTGGCTGTCCCTCTACCCAGGGGAGGGAGCACCCCGTGGCCAAGACAGGGGGGCACGGGGAACCCCAAAGAGCAGGCTTTGCTCAGTCTACTGCCTTAGCTCCTTCCTTTTTGTCCTGTCACATTTTCCAGGCCCTTCCACGCCTCCCCAAACCCAGCCCCCACCGGCTCGGGCTTGATAGTCCCTTCAGGACTTCATCCATATGGGGGCTCCCATGTCACGTAAAACTTGCATTAAATAGTTATTTACTATGTCACGCTTTTCTCCTGTTCATCTGTCTTTTTGTTTTGTTTTGTTAATCCTCACCCGAGGATATTTTCCCATTGATTTTTAGAGAGAGTGGAAGGGAGAGGGAGAGATGGAGAGAGAGAAACATCGATGTAAGAGAGACTGGTTGTCTCCCGCACATGCCCCAACCAGGGCCAGGCATCAAGGCCTGTGCCCTTGAGCAGAATCAAACCCAGACCCTGCAGTCTGCGGGCTGATGTTCTGTCCACTGAGCCAAACCGGCTAGGGCTCAGCTGTCTTTTGTTACAGAGCCACAGCAGGGCTTAGAAAGGGGAAAAGGAAACTGTTTTCTTCCTTCCCTTCAACTGATTCCCGAGCTACAGTCAGTCACTGGCCTCCGTGGGGCGGGCTGGCTTTGCAGGTCCTCCTGCAGGGACACAGCAGGCACTGAAGACAGTTCTCTCGTTTAGATTCGAGGATCAAAGGAAGAAATCTACATTGGTAGCACATCTCTTTGCTTTCTCCTCTTTCTTATACAACTTTAAAATAAAAACATTAAGTAATGTGGAAAATGTCTGTGACTAGAGATGTTTTTCTTTTCCGAATTTAAAAAGGAGGTAAATCTCTCTTATACCAAAAGGAGAATGGTGTGGCCTTTCTGTGCACAGGGCTCTGGAAGGACTTCCAGGAGGATTGGGGTCATCGCTCTGTGATTGGTCAGGGTTACTGGAGGAAGAGATTCAAGACAAAACAGCCCTGGCCGGTGTGGGGCAATTGGTTGAGCGTCATTCCATGCACCAAAAGGTCATGCTATTCCCGGTCCATCCCAGTCAGGGTGCAAACAGGAGGCAGCCGGTTGATGTTTCTCTCTCACATTGATGTTTCTCCCTCTCTCTATAAACCAATAAAAACAGACGAAAGAAAAGAAAAAGAACAAAAATCTGACTTGGCCCTTCAGGAAAGGTCAGAGAGTTGGGTGTGACAGGGCCTACCATGCGCTCCCGATGGCAAGAGCCGGTGACCACCACCCCGGGGACCCTAAGGAGGCCTCGCCCCGTCTGCCCAGGGGGACCCCTCGGCTCAGGGCTGGGGGTTACCATTTAGGCTGTCGTCAGAGGCTTCGGAGAGCGACTCCTCCCTAGGCCCGGCCTCACTCCTCACGGGGGAGGATGAGAGCCTGCCCCGGGCCTTCCTGGGGGGCCCTGGCTCGGACCCGGTGCTGGTGACAGAAAGCGATGGCTCCGTGCTGGGGGCTGTGTCCGCAGGAAGGTGAGTCTGCAGGGAGGGGGGTCTGCGAAGAGTCCCGTGTGCTGATGGGAAAGTGGGTGGATGTGACGTCCCAGGTGGCTTTGCGCTGGAAGGCTCCTCACTGGGTAGTGAAAGCAGTTCTGGCTGAGTTGGGATCTGATCCTACTTTGGCAGAAATAAAAGAAACAAAATTACCAAACGCGTGATACGGAAGTCCTTAGCATTTGACAATGTGGCTAGCAGGGTGCATGAGACCAAGGCTTCCAAGATCACATATCCATCCCTCAGTGCCCTTTCTGTATGTCCCCTCGTTTCTGGAAGTCAAGGTACAACATTTAGACAAGATAAAGTTAGAATTAAAAAATACCCCACAAATAATCAGAAATATTACCTTGCCTTCAAATACATACTGTAAATTACACATTTCCAAGTGAAGGCCCCTAAGTCTATGAGAGCTGGGACCTTCAACAGAACCAAAAATGAATATGCAGAGGGTTTCCCCACAAAACACAGCCTTCCCAATGCTTAGCATTCACTAGGGTAGCTATAATCACAAAACAGAAAGTAAGTATTGGCAAGGATGTAGAGAAATTGGAGCCCTCATTCACTGCTGGTGGGAATGTAAAATGGTGCAGCAGCTCTGGAAAACAGTTTGACTGGTCATCAATAAGCTGCTTATAAAATTATTGTAATTCCAGTCCAAGCTATTTACCCAAAAGAACTGAAAAGAGAGACTCGAGTGCTTGTACACAAAGGCTCATAGCAGCAGGATGCCCAAAAGGTAGACAACTCAAATGCCCATCAATGGATTAATGGATACATAAGATGTGGTCCATCACACAATAGAATATTATTCTGCCATAAAAAGGAGTGAGCCCTAGCCAGTTTGGCTCAGTGGTAACCACACTGGCCCATGGACTGAAGGGTCATGGGTTCAATTCTGGTCAAGGCATGTACCTGGGTTACAGGTTCATCCCCTCCACCCCCACCCCCACCTCCTCACCCCCGCTCTGATCGGGACACAATGCATGAGGCAACCACTCAATGTGTCTCTCTCACATCGATGTTTCTCTCTCTCTGTCTCTCTCTTCTCTTCCAGTCTCTGTAAAAAAACAATGAAAAGCCGGGACCGGTTTGGCTCAATGGATAGAGTGTCGGCTTGGGGACTGAAGGGTCCCAGGTTCGATTCCGGTCAAGGGCATGTACCTTGGCTGTGGGCAGATCCCCAGTAGGGGGTCTGCAAGAGGCAGCTGATCGATGACTCTCTCTCATCGATGTTTCTAGCTCTCTGTCTCTCTCCCTTCCTCTCTGTACAAAATCAATAAAATATATTAAAAAAAAAATGAAAAAATATATCCTCAGATGAGGGTTAACTCACAAAAAACAAAAAAGGAGTGGAGTACTGGCCTACACTACAATGTGGTGAACCTGAAAACACCAGGCTGAGCGAGAGAAGCCAGACACGAAATGCCACACAGTTGTACGATTCCGTTTATATGAAACGTCCAAGACAGACAAACCCATGGAGACAGAAAGCAGATTAGTGGTTGTCAGGGGTTTGGGGAGGGAGAAATGGAGTAATTATTTAATGGGTGCAGGGTCTCCTCTGGGGATGATAAGAATGTTCTGGAACTAGATAGAGGTGGTGGTTGCAAAACATTGTGAAAGTACTAAATGCCAGTGAACTGTTCATTTGAAAATGGTCAATTTGATGTGAATTTCATCTCAATAAAAATAATGGAAATACAGTCTTCCCAAGGCAATGATTCTGTGGCATTATCACTGCTGGTGTTCAACCAGTCAAAGTGCTGTCCTGTGTGTACACAGTTACACGTTACTGCAAAACTGCCTAACGGATCCCAAATTCCGCCCCCTGCAGAGCAGGCCCACAACAGGTAGCTCTGAAACCCAACCTTTCCTCATCAAAACCTTGTCTCACGTGGCTCCTGGGTGACTCCTGCTATCAAAGTCTCTGGCCTCCGAAACCACTTTGGCTCAGTGGATAGAGCATCAGCCTGCGGACTGAAGGGTCCCGGGTTCAATTCCGGTCAAGGGCATGTACCTTGGTTGCGGGCACATCCCCAGTGGGGAGTGTGCAGGAGGCAGCTGATGGATGATTCTCTCTCATCAATGTTTGTAACTTTCTTTCTTTTTTTTTTTTTAAATATATTTTATTGATTTTACACAGAGAGAAATTGAGAGTGACAGAGAGTTAGAAACGTCGATGAGAGAGAAACATCGACCAGCTGCCTCTTGCACACCCCCTACTGGGGATGTGACGCAACCAAGGTACATGCCCTTGCCCGGAATCGAACCCGGGACCTTTCAGTCCGCAGGCCGACGCTCTATCCACTGAGCCAAACCGGTCCCGGCGATGTTTGTAACTTTCTATCCCTCTCTCTTCCTCTCTATAAAAAATCAATAGAATATATATATATATGTCTCTGGTGCTATGACAGAAAGATACAAATGCAAAGACTGCCGAAACCAGTTTGGCTCAGTGGTAGAGCGTCGGTCTGCGGACTGAAAGGTCGCAGGTTCGATTCCGATCAGGGTCATGTACATTGGTTGCGGGCACATCCCCGGTAGGGGGTGTGCAAGAGGCAGCTGGTCGATGTTTCTCCCTCATCGACGTTTCTAGCTCTCTAGCTCTCTCCCTTCCTCTCTGTAAAAAATCAATAAAATATATTAAGAAAACAAAAACAAAAACAAAACAAATGCAAAGACTTAGGTGAAAACAAATGCATGCAAACCTTACCGAGAACAGTTCTGCCTGTTTTTTCCCAACGACTCTGGTGCCGGTGGAGCCCTGGTTCGTGCGCGGTTCTTTTTCTCGGGAAGATTCCATCAAGCTTCCCAGCAACTCCCTCATCTCCTCCTCATCGCTGTCTGGCGAATCCAGCTTTCTGACGGGTGCTTTCTCCTTGGGCACCGAACGGTCCCTCTCTCTCCCAACATGGGCTTCAGGAGGAAGCTTTTCAGCAGGTGGCTCTCTCTTCTTCAGAAACCTACTGCCCTGGCCCCCCGGCGTGCTGCTCCCGGCCGGAGCAGTCTCCCGGGCCTGCTTCTGCGAGCTGTGGTCTGTATTCGGTGAAGAAAGCTCAGCTGGACTCCCGGGACGAATTCTGTCTGCTCTCCAGGGAAGACTGTCCATGGAGGTCTTCGAGTTGGATTCCTCGTCAGACAAGTCCAGCTGTACCTTCCGGTTCATGATCTTGGACTCGATCTGGGCCAGCTTCCGCAGCGCGGCGCTGGTCCTGAGCTTGGAGGCCGTGGCCGGGGGTCTCCCTGAGGCCAGCCAGGGCCCGCTCCCCGGGCCAGCATCCTCCTTCGGGAAGAAGTGCTTTCCACCCACAGATTGGCTTCTTTTTAGAAATCTGCTATTACCGGGAGCTATTTTGGTGAGATTCCTACTGATTTTCAAGTTTTTCATTTTTTCCATCTTTGAATCTTCTAAGGAAATATCATTGAAATCACCAAAGATTTCACGCATGGGATGGTAGTTTTTTCTTCTTGAAGCCATTCTAAGGAGGAAAGAAAGAAAACCTATCATGTATTCAAACCACCTCTTTGTAGTCTGGTCAGACAGAGCCTTCCCTTCAAGCCTGATGATGGCAAGGAAAATGGTCAGACACCTGATACCATTTAAGCAATTACCTACAGAGTCTGTTTTTTTGTTTTGTTTTGAATATATTTTTTTATTTCCGAGCGGAAGGGAGAGGGAGAGAGAGAAACATCGATGAGAAAGAATCAGTGATCGGCTGCCTCCTACCCACACACACACCCCTTCGTGGAGATCAACCCTGTAACCCAGGCATGTGCCCTGACCAGGAATCAAACTGTGTTCATAGGTCGATGCTCAACCGCTGAGCCATGCCAGTCGGACAGGGCTCCTCTTTTATCCGTCCTCAACTCTCTAACAAAGAGCTGTTAAGACACCATCTGGCCCAGCCGGTGTTGCTCAGTGGTTGAGCAAGGACCTATGACCAGGAGGTCACAGTTCGATTCCCAGTCAGAGCACATGCCCAGGTTGTGGACTCGATCCTTAGTAGGGGGCGGGTAGAAGGCAGCTGATGAATGATTCTCTCTCAACATTTATGTGTGTGTTTTTTTTTCTCTTTTTTTATGTTTTTATTTCTTTAACGTTGATATTTTCATCCATCTCTCCCTCTCTCTTTCTCTCTGAAATCAATTTAAAAAATATTAAAACACACACACACAATCTGGCCCTGGCTGGGTGGCTTTGTTGGTGGGAGCATAGTCCCATACACCAAAAACCTTACAGGTTCGGTTCCAGCCTGAGCACATCCTTAGGTTGCAAGTTCGATTCCCAGTCAGTGCACATACCAGAGGCAACTGGTGGATGTTTCTTTCTCTTCATCTCTTCTTTCTCTCTCTCTAAAAGTCAATTAAACCATATCCTCTGGTGAGGATTTCAAAAAATCACACACACAGTCTGTATATGAGGTCCCCAGGAAAGTATCATTTCACTAAAAGTGTGAGGACCGCTGACCTGGAGGGAGGAGAAAGCTATGGACAGACACAGCACCCTCCCCTCAACAAATGTCAGCCACAGATTGTGTACACAAGCTGGCGCACACTTTCCTGGGGAGAAGGACCAGAGCTTCCATCACATTCTGAAGTTCCCGTGTGTCCCTGAAGAACAGGAACGGCCGACTGCAAGGTTTACAGGTTTACAGAGGTTTCCAAAGACGTAAAACGATGGGGAAGTACGAGATGTGGGTGTGTTTTTGCTGCATCCTTTAGTGAGAAACTCGGCAACAGCAATGAAAATGTGAGCTACACAGATCTCACGACCTGAGAATTCCATGTCTGGAATTTACTTATAATTAACATTCTCAATGTGCAAAGAGAATTTTAGAGAATGACATGGTGGCATTGTTCGTAGCCATAAAAATCCAAACGCATCGCCGAAACCAGTTTGGCTCAATGGATAGAGCATCGGCCTGTGGATTGAAGGGTCCCAGGTTTGATTCCGGTCAAAGGCATGTACTTTGGTTGCGGGCACATCCCCATTAAGGGGTGTGCAGGAGGCAGCTGATCGATGTTTCTCTCTCATCAATGTTTCTAACTCTCTATCCCTCTCCCTCCCTCTCTGTAAAAATATCAATAAAATGTATTTTTTTAAAATCCAAACCCATCCACAGAGACCTGAGGAAGTCCAGGAGACAGCATTCAGAAGACAGAATACGACACAGACGTTAAAAGGAATGAGGCGGAAGACAAAGGAATGAGGGAGATGTGGGTGGAAACCTGGCTTGTCTCCATACTGCGCCGAAATGACGTCACCAACTACCTTTACTAACAGTTTTGTAGGTGAGGCTCAGGACTTGACTCAGCCCAGCCCATGCTGTGAGTCAGAGGGGAGGCCCCACCACCAGGCCAGCTTTTCTGGCATGTAGTTATTCTGGAATTTTCCCTAGGTTTACAAATAACCAATGGAAAAATGGTTAAAATGGCCAATTTTATGTTTTAGACATATTCAAAATAGACATATTCAAAATACACACAATTATAAATAAATCAATAAACAAAGGTCATGAGCAGGCATTTCTCCAAAGAGGATACTCAAATCATCAACAAATCCTTGAAAAGATGTTCAACATCACTAGCCATTAGGAAAATGTATAAATCAAAACCACCATCAGATTGCCCTAGCCCCATGGTCAGCAAACTACAGCTCAAGAGCCACATGCAGCTCTTTGGCCCCTTGAGTGTGGCTCTTCCACAAAATACCATGGCCTGGGTGAGTCTATTTTGAAGAAGTGGCATTAGAAGAAGTTTAAGTTTAAAAAAATTTGGCTCTCAAAATAAATGTCAATCGTCGTACTGTTGATATTTGGTTCTGTTGACTAATGAGTTTTCCGACCACTGGCCTAGCTGGTTTTGGTCAGTGGATAGAGTGTTGGCCCTCGGACTGAAGGGTCCTGGGTTCAATTTTGGTCCAGGACATGTACCTGGGTTGCAAACTCAAATTCTGGCCCCACGGGAGCATGCAGGAGACAACCAATCCAAGTGTTTCTTTCTCTCTGTCTCTCCTCCTCCCTTTCACTCTCTCTAAAATCAATGAAAAAATATCCTCCGGTGAGGATTACTAAAAAAATTAAAAACAAAACAAAAACAACACACTATAAGATCCCACTTCACATCCACTAGGATGGCTATAACCAAAAAATAAAATATAAAAAAATACAGGTATTAACAAGCATTGGTGAAAAAGCAAATAAATTGAACACTCAATTGGTGGGGAAGGGATATTGTAAAATGGTACAGTCACCAATTTATTTTTTATTTTTAAAAAATATATTTTATTGATTTTTTACAGAGAGGGAGGGAGAGGGATAGAGAGTTAGAAACATTGATGAGAGAGAAACATCAATCAGCTGCCTCCTGTACACTCCCTACTGGGGATGTGCCCGCAACCAAGGTTCATGCCCTTGACTGGAATGGAACCTGGGACCCTTGAGTCTGTAGGCCGATGCTCTATCCACTGAGCCAAACTGGTTAGGACTGCAGTCACCAATTTAGAATATACTTGATAATTCCCCAAAAGGTTAACCATAGTTACCAAATGATCCAGCAATTCCACTTCATGTGGCCCAAGATAAATAAAATATGTGCAAATACTCATAACAGTTTTTGCTCATAATAGACAAAAAGAGAAAACAACCCAAATGTGCATTAATTAGAGAATGGATGAGAACTGAGGTCCGTTCATACAATGAAATACTATTCAGCAACAAGAACAAATATCAATACACATAGGTATACATCTCAAACACATTACAGTAAGTGAAAGTATCTAGATGCAAAACACCAGGGAAGACAAATCTATAGACTCAGAACGCACATCAGTAGTTGCTGGGGCTGGGAGCGGGGCTCCGGATAGACTGCAAAGCGGGGAAGGGAGATGCAAAGTTCCACAGCTGGACCACAGCTGGACCACGGTGCTGGCTGCACCACTTGGTACAAACGTTTATTAAAAAAACAATGGACTTCACTTAAAAGGCCTGCATTGTATGGTATAGAAACGAATCCTCAATAAAATTGTTTTAAAAAATTAAAAAAATCGGAGCACCGGAGTCTTTCCCCAGGCCTGGAGCGATCCACATCGGGTCACACTCCCGAACGGATCCAAACCGGGGAACTAGGGTATGAGGCGCAGCTGGGGGCTGCCCTACCGCCACCCTCCCGCCCCAGCCCCCAGGCCCGGGGCGCGCCTCGTTTCTCTCTTCCGGAGCCCCTGCCGCCCAGCCTGTCCCACCAACCTCCGCCCTCGGTGTCCATCCGCGGAGTCCGACGCCGCTCTCCGCCTGGCACTCAAACTTGAGAGGACCGTTGCCCCCGGCAACCGCACCAGGACGAAAGAGACTACATCTCCCAGCGCGCCCTGCGCGCAGCCCGAGGACCAATAGCGTCCCAGGTCACAATAGCGGGCCCTCCTGGGAGTGGCACAGTAGCGCGCTGGGACCGCACATCACAATCGCGAGGTGTGGCGGGAGTTGTAGTTCCTAGAGGGGCCCGGCTCGCCGCGGAGACTGCTGGGAGCAAAGGGGGCGGTTACAAGAAGCTCCGCGCACCCGCTATGGCCGCGCTTTGCGGCGTCCTGTTCTGGGCCATCTGTGTGTTGCGGGTGGTGCTGGCCACCGTCCACTTCCAGGAGGAGTTTCTAGACGGAGGTGAAAAAGCTCCCCCGTTCCTTGCCGCCCATTGGATGGCCGGAGTCACGTTTGGCTCCGGGGTGGGCTCAGCCTCGAGCGCCCCTCAGTCCCCCTGGACCCAGATGAAGTCCGCGGCCCTAACCCATGTTGTTTCCCCCCACAGAGCGCTGGAGGAACCGATGGGTGCAATCCACTAATGACTCCCAATTCGGGCATTTTAGACTCTCGTCAGGGAAATTTTACGGCCATAAAGAAAAAGACAAAGGTTAGTTGAGGGTTCCAGAGAAAATCGAGCTAAATGTTAAATCCCCCATAGCAACCTTTCAAGGTAGGTGTGGCTCACCCCAACACGTCCCACTCCCGCTCCCTGGTGAGGAAACCAAGGCTTCGGTAGGGTCTGGTGTTACTTTTTTTTATTATTATTATTTTTTTTTAATTTTATTTTAGAGAGGAAAGGAGAGGGAGGGGGAGAGAGAGAAACATCCATGATGAGAGAGGATCGCTGATCGGCTGCCTTCTGCACGCCCCCTACTGGGGATTGAGCCTGCAACCCAGGCATGTGCTCTTGGCCAGAATGGAACCTGGGACCTTTCAGTCCACAGGCCGAGGCTGTATCCACGGAGCCAAGCCGGCTAGGGCTCTGGCATTGCTTTGTATGCACTAGAGGGTCCCAGGGCCTTGCCCTGAGAGAAAAAAAAAAAAGCATACTTCTTTTTTTCTCTCTTCACTTTAAGAAGGAAAGAAAACGAGGTAAACGTTAAATGTTGTCAGGTGTACAGCTCTTAAGGGGTGCAACAAGGTGAATGTTTATACCCCCGTACACACAGGTAAAGCGAGGGATTCCCAGCCCTCTCCCTCCCAGTGGCTGGCCTGTTACCCCCACCTTGCAAGTCTGTAGCCTCCTGTTTCTAGAATAACCTGTGTTCTGGCTTCTTCTCATTCCTGATGACCAAAGTGAACAAAATACAGCTCATCTACCACCTGTTTGTTTTTCCTAAGCAAGCAAACTGAGAATAGTTTTAACACTTTTTAATAGCGGGGAAATTGAAAGGGGCATAGTGTTTTATGACAAGTAAAAATTATAGAAAATTCAATGAAATTTCACTATCAATAGCGTTTTAATAAGACACAGCCATGCTCATTTGTTTGCATATGGTCTCTATAACTGCTTTCATACTGCAAAGGCAGAATTGAGTAGTTGGGATAAAGAGCAAATGGCAGATGAAGCCTAAAATATTTATTCTCTGGCCTTTCAAAAAGTTTCCCAGCCCCTGATTTAGAGGAAAAACTTACTTCTTCACCATCTTCCATTCAACCTTTATTTGGTTCTGTTATTCCCATGTTTCTCTCTGGTTTTCAATTGTATAGTTTCATAAGTTACCCTAGTAGCCCTGCACACAAATATGTGTGCTAATAACTCTCTGTGGAGCCTGGCTGCTCCATGCCCACTGCCCAGAGGCCATCCACGGCTAGGCCCAGAATGCTCATGCTGCCCACTCTCAGTGATTGCCCCCTCGGGACTGGGGGACTCAGGCTACGCTGAGAGAAGTGGGTGCTGCCATCTTGTGGGTGTGGCCATATTTGTGACAGAGTGACAGTTAATTTGCATATTTTCCTTTTATTAGATAGGATGTTGGCCCAAACAGTTGGTCAAAATTCAGGCTATAGCCCTGACCGGTTTGGCTCAGTGGATAGAGCATTGGCCTGTGGACTCAAGGGTCCCAGGTTTGATTCCGGTTGGGGGCGTGAGTCTTGATTATGGGCACATCCCCAGTGGGGAGAGTGCAGGAGGCAGCTGATTGGTTTCTCTCTCATCAATGTTTCTAACTTTCTATCCCTTTTCCTTCCTCTCTGTTAAAAAAAAATCAATAAAATATATTTTTTTAAAAAATTCAGGCTATATGACAAAAATTGAGTGAAAACAAGCAGGTGATTTTATGAAGCCTGTCCAAGGACAGGGTTTCCCACTTAGATTTGGTTTGTTTTTTTCCAGTGTTTTTTCTCCCTTCAATCTGGAATCCTGAGATTGTGTGCATTTCATTCACTGCATGTGTCTACAGAGTGCAGACAGGGGCAAGGCACCGAGCATACCCGTTAATTTGGCCCCTTCTGTTGTGATCCCCTGGGACCGTGATATAGAAGCTATTGTTGGAAAAAGAAATAGAATTTAGTCAGAAAGGCCATGGGTGTAGTTGAGGAGGGGGGTAGGTCACAGAGGGAGGTGGTGAGTCATATGGCCTTAGGAATTGCCTCAATGGAAGGGGCCACATGAGGAGGAGGGTCTGCACATCTGAGGAAGGGGAGGATGAGGGAGGACACAGAGACGTGTGGTGGCAGGGAGTTCAGCCATGAATTCAGGATGTAGTAATACAAATGCCAACTCCATTTATGATGACTCAGAGCAGCTGTGGGGGCCAGAGTACAGAGCAAAGTAAGGGTAGGTTGTAAAAGACTGGCTCTGTTTTCAGGTTTGATGAGTTTCAGTATAAGATAAGGTTTTGGTTCAGAGCCTAGTGGCTACAAAAAAGGGTTTTGGTCTCAAAGTGAACACTTAAATGCATAATGCAAATATGAGATGATTCACATGCTAATGGATGGTGTCTTCATAAAAAGCCATCACACGTGACAACCATGAGCCAGCTCATCCCGCACAGGGAAGCACTATTTTACAGAGCTGCACTCTGTCCTCCATCTGCTGTTGTGACTCCTTTTTTTATTAATCCTCACCTGAGGTATTTTTTCCATTGATTTTTAGAGATAGTGGAAGAGAGAGGGAAAGTCAGAGAGAAATAACAATGTGAGAGAGAAACATTGATTGGCTGCCTTCTTCAGGAACCCTGACCCGGGCCCTGGCTGGGGAGGAGCCTGCAACAAGGTACGTGCTCTTGTCAGGAATTGAATCCGGGACCCTTTGGTCCCCAGGCCAATGCTCTAGCCACTGAGCCAAACCAGCTAGAGCTGCTGTTGTGACTCTTTTTTTAATTTTTAATATATTTTAATTGATTTCAAAGAGGAAGGGAGAGAGAGATTTAGAAACATCAATGTTGAGAATCATTGGCTGCCTCCTACACCCCACACTGGGGTTGGAGCCCACAAACCTGGCATGTGCCCTGATGGGAATCAAACCATGACCTCCTGGTTCATAGGTCAGCACTCAACCAGGGAGTCACATCAGCCGGTCTATTGTGACTCGTAAGTCACTATTTTAAGATGAGAATTAACAAAAAGAAGCAGAGCCCTAACCCCGTGGTCGGCAAACTGTGGCTCACAAGTCACCTGTGGCTCTTTGGCCCCATGAGTGTGGCTCTTCCAGAAAATACCACGGCCTGGGTGAGTCTATTTTGAAGAAATGGTGTTAAAAGAAGTTTAAGTTTAAAGTATTTGGCTCTTCAGGCCCGGAGCAGCCGGGTCGGGTGCGGCCAGGCCCGGAGCAGCGGCTGCCAGGCTGGGAGCGGCCAGGCCCGGAGCAGCAGCAGCCAAGTCCAGAGCAACTAGGTCGGGAGCGGCAGTGACCAGACCCGGAGCAGCTGGTTGTGGAATGAACCAGAGCAACAGAGGCCAGGCCCTGAGCAGCCAGGCCCAGAACAGCTCGCTCCTTGCCTGCCCCTGCCCCACGGCTGCTTCTCAGACATGGCTGGAAACTTTCGTGGGAACTTGAGGGTCTGCTGAATCAAGTGATGAAGGCTTAGATCTGGATGTGTTGAGTTAGTTTAGGACTGGGGTGTTGATCTGTGAGTGCCTTGGGTGGGGCCTGGATGAGGCTGGTGGACCTATTGGGAAATGTCTTTTGTGTGAAGTGTATCATTGGGCATGTGGAGGTATTATTGATATGAGAAAATGCTAAGTAACTGATTTACTATCTGAAAAGGGATTTACTATTGGGGAAATTGAGGGAAGAAGAGACTGAACATAAACTGCACCTATGGATGAGGACAATGGGGGATGGGGAGGGGGCGGAGGGTGGGGTGGGAATCTGGTGGAGGGAGGAAGAAATGAGGAACCTTTGTAATAATATGAACAATAAAGATTATAAAAAAAAAAAATATATATATATATACAGATGATGTATTATAGAATTGTATCTTTTAAACCTATATAATTGTATTAACCAATGTAACCCCAATAAATTTGATTTAAAAAAGAAAAAAAAAATAAAGTATTTGGCTCTTAAAAGAAATTACAAAATGTTGATATTTGGCTCTGTTGACTAATGAGTTTGCCAACCACTGCCCTAACCAGTTTAGCTCAGTGGATATGTTGTGGGGTCGAACCCTGGGTTCAGAATAAGACCACTGGAGGCTGATGATTAATTAAAAAAAGCAGGCAAGAATTTATTGAAATATCTGGCCAGGACAGACACGAGAGCACCACACGCAGGTGGTCTCCACACGACTGCACCATTTCAGGGGTAGGAAGTCCCTTTTAAAGGTTCAAACCACAGGAGTTTTCCTTTGTTCTAAATTCTAAATCCTAAAGACTACATTCTAAAGATTGGGGTCAGCCCGCAGGGTCATCACATCCTGCTGGACATTGGAATGTGGCCCTATCTTGCGATAGCCGATAACACGGAAGCAGAGCTCAGAGGTTATCTACAGTTTCTATCTCTGAAGGTTACTGAGTTAGTGGGAATCAATCTCCTGTGGTCCTGGTCCCAGGCAAGGGAAAATTGCCTTAGCCTCTAAGTCTCCACCTGAAAGCTAAGGTAAAGAGTTTTGTCCCACCCCCATCTCCCTGCCCCGTGTTTAATCAGGTGCAAGAGCCAAACTAGAAGGGTTAAAATTCAAACAGCAGTTTTTACCAAAGTATGGTTGCCACTATATTTCAAATAGAGCATGGGCCTGCGGACTCAAAGGTCCCAATTTCTATTCCAGTCAAGGGAATGTACCTTGGTTGCAGGCACATCCCCAGTGGGGTTGTGCAGGGGGCGGCTGATTGATGTTTCTTCCTCATCGATGTTTCTAACTCTCCCTCCCTCTCCCTTCCTCTCTGTAAAAAAGAAATAAAATACATCTTTTTTTTTTAAAAAAAGATGTAGATCCAAAACCGGTTTGGCTCAGTGGATAGAGCATTGGCCTGCAGACTGAAAGGTCCCAGGTTCGATTCTGGTCAAGGGCATGTACCTTGGTTGTGGGCATATCCCCAATAGAGAGTGTGTAAGAAGCAGCTGATTGATGTTTCTAACTCTTCCTCTCTGTAAAAAATCAATAAAATACATATTTTTTAAAAAGAAGTAGAATGCTTTGTATTTTAATTCAGTTGCTACACAAGCTTCCTTGTATAGCCCCACCTCTTGGAAGATGAGTGGAAGCAAAATGAATCTTTTATTTATCACTAGAATGCATATTTGTCACTTAGAGCTAAAGTGTCTTTATAACGTAACAGTGGTATATTTAAGTACAAAAACATCCGAGTGTGACAAAGAAGTTCTGTGGCATGTCTATTGTCTTTTGTACAAATGGACTATAGGTGCTGGATGAATGTAAATGGCTTACTAATGGGAGTAAGAGAAAGACAATAATTTAATTATCTGCCTCACTGAGCCCTGTCTCTCCTAATCCCTCATGAGTGTTTTTTGTTTGAAGGTCTGCAAACCACTCAAAATGGCCGATTCTATGCCATCTCTGCGCGGTTTAAACCATTCAGCAACAAAGGGAAGACGCTGGTCGTTCAGTACACAGTGAAGCACGAGCAGAAGATGGACTGTGGCGGCGGCTACATTAAGATCTTCCCTGCGGATGTGGACCAGAAGAACCTGAGCGGGAAGTCCCTGTACTATGTTATGTTTGGTGAGTTCAGGTGGCACAAAGCAACCGTTTCCGGTGACTGATGATCCTTCCACCCATGGCATCCTTAGACCAAGACTGCTAAGATGGTAGTATTGTGTGTGCCTGGCTAAAGGTTTTTATTTTTTTATTTTTTTTAAAATATATTTTATTGATTTTTACAGAGAGGAAGGAAGAGGGATAGAAAGCTAGAAACATCGATGAAAGAGAAACATCGACCAGCCGCCTCTTGCACACTCCCTGCCAGGGATGTGCCTGCAGCCAAGGTACATGCCCTTGACCGGAATCGAACCCTGGATCCTTCAGTCCGCAGGCCGACGCTCTATCCACTGAGCCAAACCAGTTTTGGCAGGCCAAAAGTTTTTAGTCCTGTTAAATCTTTTTAACATGATAAAAAGGCAACTGTACCATTCTGTTATACTTTAGAGAAAGTTGTATGTTTAACATGAATGTAGACCCAAGTATTCTGAATATAACAGGAGTCAGAAAACCTTGTCCATGGGCCAGATCAGGCCACCCACAGCCTGTGTCTGTTATGGTGCGGGAGCTGAGAATGGGTTTTAACATTTTTGAATAACTGGAAAAAAAAATCTTAAGAGGGATAATATTTTTGACACGTGGAAATGATATGAAACTCAAATGTCAGTGACCACAAATGAAGTCTCACTGGCTACAGCTTCACTCACTTCATTTGCATTTTGTCTAGAGCGGCTTTCAAACAGCAGTGGCAGAGTGGAGTCATTGTAATAGAGACCATATGGCCCCAAAGCCAAAAATATTAACTGTCTTGCCCCTTACAGAAAAAAACTGGATGACTCTGGAATACAGTAAATGTTTCCTGATACCAGGGAAACTTGATTAAAATTTGTGCTGGAATGGGAAGAGACCACATTGAGCCACAGACATAACCAAAGTGTGAGATCCAAAAGCTTTATGAATGAAAAGAATTCTGGGAAGATGGCAGAGTAGAAAGCATTAGGCATCTGTCTCCTACCTAGACAACAATTCTACTGGCAGAAGCTGCCAGTTTTAAATACTTGGGGACTCTGGAGTCTGTGGAAGGATTGCAATTTCCAGGGGAAACCGGGAAGGTTAAATTCAGTCCATTTAGCCCTCAGCACAGTAGCATATACCCACCTCCCGCCCCTAATGCAGCAGAGCAGGTGTTCCTGGAGCAGCTTACACACAGCTTGCAGGAGCTAGGGTGGCAGAAAGGACTCTGTCCTCAAAATATTTGGGATCTGAGCTCTGATCACTGATTGGTGCCTCTGGTCACAAGGATGGGGACAGAGAGGGGCCACCATTTTGTTGTATCTCCCTCACTATTGTAGTAATCCTCTCTGCCTCCAGCCATAGTGACTTCCAGGGGAAGTAAAGGGCCAGCATCCCCCTCCCCTCATTATTTCCCTTTTCCCCTTAGGAAGCCAGACATTAAAGACCAGGACATTCATGCAGGGAAAATTAGAAAGTGACCACACATGCCCAGGGAAAGACTCTGAGAAGATGTTAAGTTTACGTCTCAGGCTGACTCTTAGCACAGAGACAGACTGAAAAACAATTAAATACCCGATGGGTGTGGCTCAGTGATGGAGCATTGACATATGAATCAGGAAGTCATGGTTAGATTCCCAGTCAGGACACATACCCAGGTTGTGGGCTCCATCCCCAGTAGCGGGTGTGCAGGAGGCAGCCAATTAATTGACATTGATACAGGAACATTGATCAGAGCTTCTGAGCAAGGACCCCAGACTCAGGGAGCATGTCAGGGATGTTTTTTAGATTGTTAAACCTTTTCTTACTCATGCTAATTTACACTTGAGTCCAAAGTGGCTGCAGGGAACAGAGAAATTACCTGAACTGAGAATGGTAGATATCCATTTAAATATATCCATGTAGCCCTAACTGGTTTGGCTCAGTGGATAGAGCGTGGGCCTGCGGACTGAAAGGTCCCAGGTTCGATTCCGGTCAAGGGCATGTACCTTGGTTGCAGGCACATCCCCAGTAGGGGGTGTGCAGGAGGCAGCTGATCGATGTTTCTCTCTCATCGATGTTTCTAGCTCTCTATCCCTCTCCCTTCCTCTCGGTAAAAAAATCAATAAAATATATTTTAAAGAAGTAAATAAATATATCCATGTAGGTAATTGATCATTTCTGGGCATGTAAGCTTCCTATGCCTTGGATATTATTTCAGAAGAATGGTTGTGGGTATGTTGTGGTAATGCATTATGCAGGGAAATTGAGAGCAGCTAATTTTTTTTTTTTTGTAGGACCTGATATTTGTGGATTTGATATCAAGAAGGTTCATGTTATTTTACATTTCAAGAATCAGTATCATTCAAACAAGAAACCTATCAGGTGTAAGGTAAATTATTTTGTATTTATTTATTTATTAAATATATATATTTTTTCATTTCAGAGAGTAAGGAAGAGAGAGAGAGAGAGAGAGAAACGTCAATGATGAGAGAGAATCATTGATCATCTGCCTCCTGCACGTCCCCCACTGTGGATGGAGCCCACACCTCAGGCATGTGCCCTTGGCTGGAATAGAACCCTGACATCCTGGTTCATAGGTTGATGCTCAACCACTGAGCCATGGCGGTCAGGCTGATTTTATATTTAAATCGGTGATTGTGTTAACTCTTGTCAGATAGTAACATAAGTTTAGAGAGAGTAGTTTTGATCTTAAAATATTTAAGTGAGCCAGGGATGGGTCATAGCAAACATAACCCGTCCCTACTCTCTAGGTTAGCAGGCGCATCAGAGACACTTGTCCACTACTCTGGTTTGGTTTCTGGAGGTTTTTTTTTTTTCCCATCAGGAGGGCACATTCACTTTTTACTGTGAGCTGTGGCATCAATTTATAATTTGCCCCATCAGGGTTACAACAGAGTGGTCCCATTTTAGCTATAGCCATCATTATTAAGGAATGAAATAGTCCTGATTTCATTCCTTTACTCCTGAAAACTAATTGGAGAAATGAATCTTCAAAAGGCCAAAATATTTAAGATAGAAAATGTTCTAAAATGAAAGCATACACTTACTTTTTTTTTTACCCAGGTAATCTGTGAAAATGACTCTTTAGGTCTAAGGGCCTGCTTTAGAACTCAATGGCGCCACCTAGGGCTTCTCCAAAGAGGTGGCCTGTTAAGTTCCTGGCATGTGGGCCTGTGGAAGGGAAGTATGTCCTGCAATGCCCCTCATTTGCATATAAGCACCAGGAAACAGGAACCTGTCCCCTGAGACACCCCCAGGGCCCAGGGCTCCAACATCAGAGGCCTTGGTGAATCTGCGCGACTTTGGACAGGGGGGCCTAGTGTATTTCATGATCATTGACAGCATGGAGTGGATGCATCGATAACTCCCTTAGTCCTAACCCAAGCAGGGAGCAGTAGACCTCTTCACAAAACCCCAGTGAGTCTCCATTGGTAGCACCATCCCTCTTGGGCTCCCACCTACTGATGTTGCGGTTCATTTGGATTGTGAGCTCCCCCCCTCGTCCCATGTACCCCTCCCATGGGGCGTTGGGAAGCTTACAACCTTTATTTTATTTTATATATTTTATTGATTTTTTTTTACAGAGAGTAAGGGAGAGGGGCAGAGTTAGAAACACCGATGAGAGAGAAACATCAGCTCCTCTTGCACACTCCCTACTGGGAACATGCCCGCAACCAAGGTACATGCTCCTGACCAGAATCGAACCTGGGACCTTTCAGTCCGCAGGCCGACGCTCTATCCACTGAGCCAAACCGGTTTCAGTGGAAGCTTATAATCTTAAGCTTTCTCCCTCCATTTAGTGTTTGGACCAAAGGGCAGGTCTTTATGATTGAGTCCCAAGAAATGGTTCAGTTGTACATCAGATGTGTGGGAGAGACACTGTGGAGGCTGTGAGGTTCGGTTCAGATCACCTGGGGTCAACAAGCCTACAGGGCCCTGACAGGCACCCAAGGCTGATGACTTCCTCGGACATGTGCTGCTGTTACTGCAATCTGTTGGAAAAATAACACCCATCTGCTGAAGGAGCACTGATTCACAGCAGCTAGTCAGCATTCCAGTCTTCCCAGGGAGGAATACCATTGTCTTCATAGGGTCTGATTCATTCTGTGATGTGGAAAGGAAAGGGCGAGAACCTTTCCTGCAGGTAGTGGTCAGACCTCAAGGGGTCTGAAGTGCACGTTAGGAAAATAGATCAGATGTTCTGGAGAGGGCGGGTGGGGGACAGGGTGATCAACAGGCAGGAAAACAGGTGAGATTGTGGGCCCAGGCTCCGGGGGAATGCAGACGGTAGGAGGGTAGTAGCGTTTGGACATTATTCAGGAGTGGGGTCCAGAGGACTTTATTATAGGGAGCGGCTCTAGGGTCAAGCCTTGGGCTGGCCTGTGGCAGGGCCGCAAACAAGTCCCAGCCTGGAGGGCAGAGCTCTCCTGGCATAATTGAGTCTGACCTGGTAGCCCACCCTAATTCCTTCCTAAGTAGCTAATGGCTGTGGGAGGTGCAGCCTTGGTGAATCTGCGTGAATTCAATTCAAGAACATTTGTATACATGTTAATCTACCCTTTTTAAAAAAAAAAAATTTTATTGATTTTTTTACAGAGAGGAAGGGAGAGGGATAGAGAGTTAGAAACATTGATGAGAGAGAAACATCCATCAGCTGCCTCCTGCACACCCCCTACTGGGGATGTGCCCACAACCAATGTACATGCCCTTGACCAAAATCGAACCTGGGACCCTTAGGTCTGCAGGCTGATGCTCTATCCACTGAGCCAAACTAGTTTTGGCAGGGCTACCCTTGTTTTAATCAGAATATAAAACAAAGCATTGGCTTGCAGGCTGGGTCTTTTGTGTCCTCATCCAGGCATGGGAGATCCACTGAGCCCCAGCTGTATTCTCTTGTCTGTCTTTTCTTCCATCTTCACTGCCCCTCCTCATGTTCACCCTTGGACATGCTGGCGCAGCACACTTTACGATGTTTGGAATGTGGGTACTGAGGATGTGGACGATGACTCTCAGTAGCATTACAGTTAATTAGGAAGGGAAGCAAAGATCAAGGAGGGACTAGGGCAGACTGGGGGGTCATGTTGAATGGTTAGGGGTGAAATCCTGGCAGACATCCAGATAGAGGTGTCAGTAAATTGTTGGAAGCAGGTCTGAAGCTCAGGCAGATGGTTGAAATTAAAGATGCCTTTGGGAGCTGTTTGCATATGTATGGGAGTAAATATAATCCCCATACAGCTGCTCTTGTAGCCAAATCCTGGGGGAGCCCCAGCCATTGGGGCCAGGGAGCCCAAAGTGAAAGTAGGAAAGGGAGTTGAGAAGGAGGCCAGTAGAGGTGCAGAGGGAGAGCATTGGTATTCAGCTGTCACACCAAGCAGACTGCAGTGTTGATCTTGGACAAGCCATTTGCCACTGTGTGGACAGCAGTGGCCTATCCAGCAGGGCACAACAGGCTCTTGTTAGGAGAGAATCCTCCTGACACAGACCCTTTAAAACGCTGGGGCAGTGGCTCCTGAACCCGAACAGTGTCAGTGTCCCTGGAGGGCCTGTGAAAATTACTGAGGGTCCACCAGGTTCCAGCGCAGCATGTTGGGACCCACGTGGGAACCTACATTTCCCAGTGATGTTGATGCTATTGGTTGTGCTTTGAGAAGCCCAGTAGGATTCCCCTCAGCTACTGACAGGCAGGCATATCCTGGGCACCCTCAGTCTCCCCAGGCACCTGTCACCCAACCCCCACCCATCCTTAACTGTGTATTTGTTGAATACTTTCCTGTGTCCGGCCCAGGGCTTTAATCGTGACTCAGACAGACACTGGGCCTGCCCTCACCGAGCTTCCATTGTCGGATAGCTCAGAGCATCAAAAAGTTCTCCCCTGTGTTAGAAATAGAGCGGAGCCCTAGTTGGGGTGTTGTCCCATATACCAAGGGGTTGTGGTTTGATTTCCTGGTCAGGGCACATACCTAGGTTGCAGTTCAATCCCCAGTCAGGGCATGTATGGGAGGTAGCTGATCAATGCTCCCCCCCCTCCTCCCTTTCTCTAAAGTCAATCAACACATCCTTGGGTGAGGATTCAAAACAAAACAAAATAAAACAAAATTATAGCCGAAACTGGTTTGGCTCAGTGGATAGAGCATTGGCCTGCGGACTGAAAGGTCCTGGGTTTGATTCCGGTCAAGGGCATGTGCCTTGGTTGCAGGCACACCCCCAGTAGGGGGTGTGCAGGAGGCAGCTGTTCGATGATTCTCTCTCATTGATGTTTCTAACTCTCTATCCCTCTCTGTTCCTCTCTCTAAAAAAATCAATAAAATATATTTTTTAAAAATTATATACAAAAAGAAATGGAGCAGACTTCATTAGGAATCTTTCAGGATATGGAACAGGAAGTAGTTTTCAACATGACTTTTCATAAACAATGTTATCGTCCCATGGTTTACACCAACTGCCCTATCATAACTGCCTGTAGGATTATAATGGGGGCCGGTATCTTTGCCCAAAAGGGAATTGGCCACTCAAGAGAAGGCTGTCAGCATCAGGGTTCTACAAAGAGGCAATGCTTCTGTTACACCGTTACAGCCCCCTCTTCTTTCTGTTCTTATCAGCAAGTCTTTGACTGATGATAACTTAAACTGCTTATTTAGACCTGCCTTGAAACATATCCCTGTCATCCTTTCCTCCCCTAAAATGTGCAGGTTGATGGCTTCACACACCTCTACACTCTGATCTTAAGACCAGATCTCACTTACGAAGTAAAAATTGATGGCCAAGTGATTGAATCCGGCAGCATTGAGTATGACTGGAACTTAACATCACTGAAGAAGACGGAGAAGTCTTCAGCAGAATCCATGGACTGGGAGCAGGAGAAAGAGGACAAACTCCAGGTGTGGATTTTCCCCAAACAATTTTGGAAAATGTGTGCAAGCAAAATTTGTACGTAGTAGGTCCTGTGTGATTGCTGCATGGCGGGTAATCAGGATGACAACATAATAATCAAAATGCTCTCTCTGGTGCATGAGTGCTGAAACCAGCCACAGATCTGCATGCCTGAAGGTACTGTGAAAAGGTTTTATAATATTTGAGATCAAAACAAGTATGGTTTGATCTTCTTAACCAAAATTAAATGCATCCGCAACCTTAAAAAATTTTTTGTGTTACTCTGCATTTGAACATGAAATATTTTTGTGGCCTCATACTTGTGATTGACAACCAAGATCCGTAAACATATAAAAATGTGTTTCCAAGGGCTGCTGTGTATTGAATATATATTATATAAGCACCACAAAGAGCAAATCCCTAACATAAAGGTTTTTCTGTTTTCAGGTTAGGGCTCCTGTGGGAGACAAGCAATCAATGTCACTTTCTCACATCGGTGTTTCTCTCTCTGCTTCTCCCTCGCTCTTCCAATCTCTAAAAATCAATGGGGAAATATCCTCTGGTGAGGATTAACAAAAATCGAACCCGAGACCTTTGCCATCATTTCTCAAAGGACAGAAATATATTCTCTTGTTGTTCTTCTTGAAGGCAGAGTTAGAAATCAGTGTGTTGGCAGGCAGGACCACACTCCCTCTCAGGGCTCTCCGAGAGGATCCATCCTTCCTTCCTACAGTGTCATTGCCTTTAGGCATTCCTTGGGTGGTACACACATCACTCCAGTCTCTCTGGCTGGCTTCTCCACATGGTCTTTTTCTCTTCTTGAGTCTCTTCTGTCTCCTATAAAGACATTTATCATTGGATTTAAGTCCACCTGAATAATCCAATTGCCTCGAGATCCTTATATTTGATAATTATATCCGAAAAGACCCTCCCCACACCCTTTAAGCACACATTCCCAGATTTAGGATGTAAATAAATATTTTTTGGAATTACCCACTACAGCCACTTTTTAAAAAAAATATATATTTTATTGATTTTTTACAGAGAGGAAGGTAGAGAGAGAGAGAGAGAGAGAGAGAGAGAGAGAGAGAGCGAGCACGCGCCAGAAACATCGATGAGAGAGAAACATCAACCAGCTGCCTCTTGCACACCCCCTACCGGGGATGTGCCCGCAACCAATGTACATACCCTTGACCGGAATCGAACCCGGGACCTTTCAGTCCGCAGACCGACGCTCTACCACTGAGCCAAACCGGTTTCGGCTGTTTCTTTATTGTTGTAACATTTTGTTTTGAGCATCAAACACTATACCAGAACCTGAGCCTTTTATCTGAAGACAGTCATCTTTGCCATAACTACAAGTACTGGACTGATATCTATTATTCATTTCTGACAACATACAACTTATTGGTGGCATTGCTATGTAATAACCAAATACTTCAGAATAGACTGCATATAATTATTAAATCTTATTTAGACTATTAAGTTATTTGGCAATCCTTTTTCCCCATAGATAATTGAAAGTTAAGTTTCTTGAATTTGGAATCAATCATGTCCAATCAGTGAGAATGCCTTCAGATTGAGCAACTCCCCCACATAAAAGTTTTCCACTATATCTCATGGGAGGAAAAAAAGGCAGAGTTTCCCCCTCCTGTTCTTCCCTTAAAAACAAACCAAAAAATGGAGTGTTCACCCAGAAAAAGCACTTACTTTAAACAAGGCCCAGAATGGCAAAAGAACAACAACCACCACAACAACAACAATAACAACACCCCTGCAGTACCCCCTGCCCCAGCAGTTTGGGTGGAGACAGGTGCCCACAGGGGCTAATCAGTCTTTCAGAAGCTCCTTTCTGGATTGGCTGTTTTGTCCCTATGCTCAGACCCCTATGGTCTCCTAAACAAATTAGTTCATTATGGCATTAGAATCTGAAAACCTGCAATTCTACTAGGAAGCCTGCTACTCAGATTGAATTGTAATTATTTTCTGGATCCCAACACAACAGTGGTTCACGGTTGTCATTTGTGGTCTGGGTCAAAAAACAGTAGGAGAGCCCGGCTGGCATGGTTCAGTGGTTGAGCCTCAACCTGTGGACTGGTAGGTCCCCGTTCAATCCCTGTCGTGGCACATGCCTGGGTTGCAGGTCTTGCAGGTCAATCCCCAGTGTGGGATATGCAGAAGGCAGTTGATCAATGATTCTCTCTCATCATTGATGCTTCCGTCTCCTTCTCCCATATATATATATATATATATATATATATATATAAACAGTACAAGAGACCTAGTTAGTTTGGCTCAGTAGATAGAACCAAGGTTCAATTCTAGTCAAAGGTATGTACCTCGGTTGCAGGTTTGATCCCCAACCCTAGTTGGGCCTCATGTGGGAGGAAACCAATTGATGTGTCTCTCTAACATCGATGTTTCTCTCTCTGTTTCCCTCCCTCCCTCCCTCCCTCTCTTAAAATCAATGGAAAAATATCCTTGGTGATAATTAACAACAACAAAAAGCAGTAGGAGAGGAGAGGTGACTAACTCCCATGTTTCAGTTGTTGAGAAGAGTATTGTGAAAAAGCTGCTAAGTTAAAAATGTTGCCCTAGATGGTTTAGCTTCATGGATAGAGTGTTGGTCTGTGGACTGAAGGGTTCTGGGTTTGATTCTGGTCAAGGGCACATGTCCAGGTTTCTGGCTCCATCCCCAGTAGGGGGCATGTGGGAGGCAGCCAATCAATGATTCTCTATCATCATTATTTCTATCTCTCTCCCTCTCCCTTCCTCTCTGAAATAAAATAAAAAAAATATTTTAAAAAATGTTTACAATGTCTCAGTTCTAAAAGAGAAAACAACATTGTATACAACTTTTATATATGTTGATCTGAATATTAATCTAAGCATTTTTTTCTTATCTATTAGTATTCAACAACTATTTATTCAGTACCTACTAAGCTATATACATATGTATATAGATGTGTATAATATGTATATATGTGAGTTTGTATAAACCTAAACATATATATATATATATGCATGTATATGTATTATTTTTGTGTGTATATAGGTGAGTGTTTCTGTGTCTATAAAATGACTCAATAGTAATTGATTTTCTCCTGCTATCCAGGTTAATATTGGGACATTTCTTAGTTATCCAGCACCTCTCTGGAATAGTCCATGTGTGACTGTGATGTAGGGCAGATTTCAGCTAACCATCAGGGAAAGTGTGGTCCCCTCTCCCATCCTTACTTTTTGCCCATCATTTTACCTTTAGACATTATTTCAACTTTTCCACATTGCTATTCCTGTCCATAGCATGGGGAAAGTGGTACCATCACAAGGGCTAAGGATGGGGGTGGGGTTAGAGAGAACATTCCAGCAATGCATGATCCCAAGCCCCCTGTGGAATCTGGACCTTGATCGCAACCAATTATTAAACCCATTGGTTCTGTTCTCCTTTCCACCTCTCTTCCCCAACCCCCACCATCACTGCACTCGGCCCTTCAACCACCAAACTGAGAAGGAGATGAGGAAATAGCGACCTGGGTCACAGGCCTGGCCATTTCCTGGTAGCTACGAATTTCCTTTCTCAAATCTGAGAATCTTTTTTTCTCTTACACATATTTTAAGGACTGGGAGAAGCATTTTCTGGATGCCAGTGCCAGCAAGCCAAGCGACTGGAACAGAGAACTGGACGGAGACTGGCAGGCGCCAATGCTTCAGAAACCTCCGTACCAGGTACGTGGGGGCATCCTCTTCCTGTGACACCCTCGGGCTGCCCCCTCCCCTGCTGCGTCACTGGCACCACCACATGCGGTTTGCTGTTGCAGGATGGCCTGAAAGCAGAAGGAATAGACAAAGACGTGTGGCTCCATCAAAAGATGAAAAACACCCACTATTTGACGGAGTACGATCTTTCGGAATTTGAGAACATTGGTGCCATCGGGCTGGAGCTTTGGCAGGTCACTGGGTTTTAAATTTGCTTTAGTTTAATAACTGAATTTCAGCGTACCAGGAAATCCCTTACTTTACATAGCTTGTGTTTCTTGAACTCCTGCTGTGCGCCTGGCACCTGAAACTGGACCCAAGGCTGTGGCCAAAACAGATGGCCTTCTCCCCCTCCGGCACATCCTGTCTGCCTCTGCCCACTGGGAATCGGTCTTCCTCAGCTCTTAGCCGACCGGCGGGGCCATCAGCGTTAGGACAAGGTTGTAGATTCTGAGGCAGAGTGTCTGGTGTGGAGCTTGAGATTCTGCATTCCCACCAACTTCCAGGTAGTGCTGTTGCTGCCAGTCCACTAAAAGGTTCTTGAACTGCATTTCTTTTTCTTTCTTTCCTTTTTTTTTTTTTTTTTTTAATATATTGATTTTTTTTTTTATAGAGAGGAAGAGAGAGGGATAGAGTTAGAAACATGGATGAGAGAGAATCATCGATCAGCTGCCTCTTGCACACCCCCTACTAGGGATGTGCCCGCAACCAAGGTACGTGCCCTTGACTGGAATCGAACCTGGGACCTTTCAGTCCGCAAGCCGACGCTCTATCCACTGAGCCAAACCGGTTTCGGCTGAACTGCATTTCTTAAATATTGCTGAGCGCTCCAGGCATTGGGGTGTTCTTCAAAGTCACAATGCCCAGGCAGCTCCCAGACCAGTGAAAGCAGCATCCCTAAGGTTGAGACCAGGCACCAGGAGTTTCAGAAATGTTCTTGGTGATCCCAATAGGCAGTCAGGTTGACAACCTGTGCCCTGGAGGGAAAGACATTCTAGAAATGGGTTTAAGCATGTGTTGCTTTTGAGAACTAATGACTGCCACAGTACTGAGAAGAATACAATTGTCGCTTGGTGGAAGGTGGTTACATTTCTCACACCGATAAGTAAGCCCTATTTTCATCTGCAGGTGAGATCTGGAACCATCTTCGATAACTTCCTGATCACAGACGACGAAGAGTATGCTGAGAATTTTGGCAAGGCCACCTGGGGTGAAACGAAGGTACGATGAGTGCAATGAACTTTTCTTTCATTTTTATTTACTTCTGTACTTGGGTCTAACATGTAGGAAAGCGCTTGATGAATTTTTGCTAATGAACACTCCACCTAGATCAATGCACAGAATGCTTTCAGGAGCCTCCTTATATCACCCCCCCCGCCCCCGCCCTGAGCCGGCACCCACCCCCAAAGGAGCCACTATTCTGTCACTATTCTATCTAGATCAGTTTGATCTCCTTTTGAAATTCATATAAATGGAGTCCTATTTACTCATTTAGGCAGTGTTGTCAGATGCACTCATATTATCACACGCAGCAGTAGCTCGATCTTCCTGTGAGACTATCCCAGAAGATATGTATCCATTCTCTGTCAAGGCAGCTTTGGGTGGCTTCCAGCTTGTGGCCTTCTGCAGAAAGCTGTCACTATCATTCCTGTATGTGTCTTTCAGTGAACAGCCCAGGAGCGAACAGGTTACAATGTCCCTCACAGCCAAGCAGTTATCGATGTGTTGCCTTATTTTACATCCCCTGGATTTTCTCATTTAGGCTCTACCGTCTCCTCTTATCACCCATTCAGCTGGTCAGCTGGTTGAAGGACAGGGAGCCACTGCTCTGGGGACAGAAAGAAGAGATGAATTCATTGCCAGGGGCTCTCATAACAAATCACCACGAACTGGCCAGCTTAAAACAACACACATTTTTTCTCTTACAGTTCTGGAGGCCAGACTCCATTAGCAGGACCACTCTCCCTCTTGCTTTTTCCAGCTTCTGGTGGCTTCTGGTGTTCCTTCATTTGTGGCCACAACACACTAACTTCTGCCTCTATCTATTTTTTAAATGTTTTTATTGATTTTTTTTTTTAAAGAGAGAGAGAAGGAGAGAGAGAGAGAGAGAGAGAGAGAGAGAGAGAGAGAGAGAGAGAGAGAGAGAGAGAGGGAAGCATCAATGAGAGAGAAACATCATCGATCAACTGGGACTGCAATCTGAGCATGTGCCCTGACCAGGAATCCAATTGGTGACCTCTTGGTTCCTGGATGGACATTCAGCTGCTGATCTACACCAGCCGGGCTCTGCCTCTGTCTTGATGTGGCATTCTCCTCTTCTGTGTGTTTCAAATTTCTCTGTCTCTCTTATGAGGACACTGAATGATGGAATTTAGGGTCTACCTGATAAATCAGAATAATCTCAACACAATTTAATCCCGTTTGCAAAGACCTTTTCCCCATATCAGGTCATATTGACAGGTTCCAGGGATTAGGACCTGATAGCTTTGGGGGCTCATTTTTATCTGCCCTGAGCTGGAGTGGAAGCTTCCAGAAGGCAGGGGCAGGTTGCACATTAACATCCGGTCAGCTTCCAGGAAGCATAATCCCTCGCCCCCCCTCGGGTCTCTGTTTTTGTCTGCAGGGCCCGGAAAGGGAGATGGATGCCATCCAGGCCAAGGAGGAAGTGAAGAAGGCCCGTGAGGAAGATGAGGAGGACCTGCTGATGGGCAGGTTTGATGGGAGAGAAAATAATTTCAGGAGATTTCACAAGAGGGATGAACTTTAGTCACCCCACCCCAGATAACGATGACTGGTAAACCTTGTTACTTTAATCTACATTGAAAAGCTCAAATGTCTGCACACATGGGAATTTGTCTGATTTTCTTTGAGAAATGTTCCTATGCTTCTTGGTGGCTTCCTCAAGCCCCCATCCCTGTGCATAAGATGTTTCCTCTGGACAAACCTGAGTGCTGGGGACCAGAGGCTGGTGAGAGTTTGGTTAAAAAAAGAATACCTGATGCTATTTTTTAAAAATCTTTTCCTGAGGACATGTTTGTGTATTTGTTTGTTTTCAGAGAGAGAGAGAGGAAGGGAGAGAGAGAAAAACATCAATCTATTGCCTCATATGTGCCCCGCTTGGGGATCGAACCTGCAACCTTTTGGTGTATGGGGAGATGCTCCAACCAACTGAGCCACCTGTTCAAGGCCTGATGCTCTTTTTTTATTTTTATTTTTATTTATTTATTTATTTTTTAAAATATATTTTATTGATTTTGTACAGAGAGGAAGGGAGAGAGATAGAAACATCGATGAGAGAGAGTCATCGATCAGCTGCCTCTTGCACACCCCTCACTGGGGATATGCCCGCAACCAAGGTATATGCCCTTGACCGGAATCGAACCCGGGTCCTTTCAGTCCCCAAGCCGACGCTCTATCCATTGAGCCAAACCGGTTTCAGCTTGATGCTCTTTTTTTAATCCCCAAAATGTTTTATAAATAAAAGGTAGTAAGACCTATTTTGAAAAAAGAGGAAATGATGCCTTATTTCTTTGGTTTTTAAATTATTAATAACACAAGAGAAAATTTTCCATATGAAATCTACGCAACATCCTCAGCGTGGTAAGGTTTTGGGTGCTCTACCGGTATCTTGGTTATTTTGAAGAACCAGGCTTCCCTCGCACACCGACATTTAAAATGCCATGAAGAAGCTGATGCTTCCCCTCCCTACTCTGTGGCCCACTTCTGTGGCCGTGAGCTTCTCTGTAAGACAGAGGAATGAAATACATTTTCTCAAGTGAAAATAGTGATAACTTCTCAGTTTAATTTTTTCCTTTCAAATCAAATAATTTGATTTTTAAAAATATGTTTTTATTGATTTTAGAGAAAGAGGAAAGGAGAGGGAGGAGAGATAGAAACATCTCTGAGAGAGAAACATCCATTGGCTGCCTCCTGCACACCCCCAACTGGAGATCAAGCCCACAACCAGGGTATGTGCCCTGACCTAGAATAGAACTGGTGACCTCTTGGTGCATTGAACGATGCTCAAACAATTGAGCCACACCAGCTGGGCATTTTTTTTTTTTTTTAAAGTCACACATAGCAGTCTTCTATTTTGAAGAAACCTGCTTTCTCATGCAGAAACTTGTGTTAGAAATTACAGTAAAACCTTGATATAATGTACTAATTTGGGCGAGGTGGTGTTTGCTAAAACTGAAAGTCCTATTGATATATATAAAAGCCTAATATGCAAAGTGTCGCCTTTGGGAGTTTGACCAACCAGGAGTTGCATCGCTCGCTATGACGCATGCTGACCACCAGGAGGCAGCACGGAAGGAAGGCCCCAGCTGGCAGCCTCTAGGGACCCTACCTGTGCATGAAATTCTTGCAGTGAGCCTGTAGTATATAATAAAGTAGGTTTTCAGAATGCATATGTTAAAAAATTAACAAATTAGTTTACTTTTTACTTATCTAGACATGTTTGTGTTATTAAATATGTATGAATGAGAAGTTCAATTTTACTGAAAAGTTTTCTATATGTATTACCGTTATTTTAAATTTATGTTGAATAGATGTGGTAAATGCATGCATTCACCAGCCCCAAGAGTAAACAGATGCACACGGTTAGGGTGTGGCTTAGCACATGTCTGAAAACTGGCGGGCATGAGTTAAAACTGCTGTTGAAAGTTGCACCACCGCACAACAGAACCAGTTACAGGGCACAATGCAGTGTGATCAGGTGCTAATCATTCCCTGAACATTGTTTATGAGTAGTGACTCTTGGATTTAAATATGTAGACTATAATTGTAGATATGCAATATTTATTTATGTTGGCAAAATTACTACAGTATTTTTTTCTGACATATTGTTAAAAACAACAATAAATTGCCCTGGCCAGTATCTCTCAAGGGTTAGAGCATCTTCCCGAGCACCAAAGAATTGCAGATTTGATTCCTGATCAAGGATATGTAGCTGGATTGCAGGTTGAATCCTGATCCTGGCCCCAATTGGGGTGGATGCAGGAAGCAACGGGTCCATGTGTTTCTCTCACCTCTCTCTCTCTCCCCCTCTCTCTCTCTTCCTTCCTCTTTTCCTCCCTCCCTCCCTCCCTTCACTCTCTGTAAAAATCAATGGAAAAAACATCCTTAGGTGAGGATTAACAAACACAAAATGAGAGTGCATTGCCCTGGACGGCACGGCTCAGCAGGTTGGCATCATCCTGTGCACCAGGAGGTTGCTTGTTCATTTCCTGGTCAGGGGCATATTCCCAGGTAGGGGGCAGGCAGCAGGCAGCAGATGAATGGATGTTTCTCTCTCTTCCTCCCATCCTTTCTCTCTAAAAATCAATAAACTATAATTTTTAACAATTTTTTTTATTGATTTCAGAGAGAGGAAGGGTGGAGAGAGGGTTAGAAACATCAATAATGAGAGAGAATAATTGATTGTCTGCCTCCTGCATGCCCCCTGTTGGGGATCTAGTCTGCAACCCACAAATGTGCCATGACAGGGAATTGATATTGTGACTTCTTGGTGCATGGATTGATGTTCAATCACTGAGCCACACCAGCCGGGCTAAACTATTCTTTTTTTTTTTTTTTTTTTAAATATATTTTATTGATTTTGTACAGAGAAGAAGGGAGAGAGATAGTTAGAAACATCGATGAGTCATTGATCAGCTGCCTCTTGCACACCCCCTACTGGAGATATGCCTGCAACCAAGGTACGTGCCCTTGACCGGAATCGAACCCAGGACCCTTCAGTCTCCAAGCCAATGTTCTATCCATTGAGCCAAACCGGTCTCAGCAGGGCTAAACTATTCTTAAAAAACAGTGAATTAATAACAATAAAATAATTTGTTAATTTAATTATAAGAACATTTTGGTTAAAAGTATATTATTATTATTATTATTATTATTATTATTATTTTGTTAATCTTTGCCTGAGGATATTTTTCCATTGATTTTTAGAGAGAGAGGGAGAGATGGAGGGAGAGAGAGAAACAGTGATGTGAGAGACATCAATTGGTTGTCTCCTATACATGCCCTGACCAGGGCCAGGGATTGAGCCTGATATGCCCTTGAGCAGAGTTGAACCCAGGACCTTTCAGTCCAAAGGCCAATGCTCTATCCACTGAGAAGAACTGGCTAGGGCTAAAAGTATTTTAAAATGAACCGGGTGTTAATTTTCATATGTGACATACGGACCGGACATTTTGTCCATTAAATCCAAAGTCTGGTAAATCAAGGTGTGCAAAATCGAGAGTTTACTGTATCAAATTTAGGACACCAGAAATTTGGAATCTAGTGATATTACAAATAAGCTGAATAGATTGGAAATTATAAATGGCATATTCACAGATGATCAGTATGAAAAGTCCACTCAGAAAGTGAAATTCTGGCAAGTTTTGTTCTTGCTTTGGCCAAAGTTGGCAGACCTTTGAACTTGGACTTTATTGGTCTTCAGAGTTCATCAGGGGTTTTCAGTCTTAGAAACTAAATACTCCCTTGCTGTGCAGGGGTGGGATTCAAACATTACCTACCTCTCTCAACCCTGAAAAGTTAGTAAGGGAAGGAGGAGAGCCAGGCCTATGGAGAAAATGCTGGAAGCAATCCCTCAGAGATGATCTTCTTGAAGCAGCACTCTCCTGAAGACATTTCTGTGAAGATGGAGATTATCTAAGGTGACCAGATTTTAACATTGGTAAAGCAGGACACCATTGATGGGGGGGTGTGGGGTTCTTGATTAAAAATTTGGTCTATATGGAGCAACAAAAATTTTCATAGAACGCAAAATAGTATTGTAATATATTTTTTAAAATTTCAACCTAAGTACAATTTGCAAATATAATAAAAAATTATGTATAGTATTATTTTATTCTTTGGCATATTTCTCATTTGAGTGATTTTTTTTTTTAGTAGATTGCTGTCGTTATTTAAAAGGTCATGAAAATTTCCACAAGAATTTGTTAAATTATATTTCACACATAAAATGGCTTTCAAAGTCTCAACACTTAATTGTGATTTTTCTGATGTCCACACTTTATTTACCGTAGAAAAAACGCATTCAGTCGCAGCATTAGTTCTTGGTAAGGACAGCGCATATTCCACAATTCTAACAACTGATCAACAATGTGAACTTTGATAAGCAGTTCTCGATAATCAATTCTAAACAATTATTTGTTATTAAAGTTTAACATTATAAAATTAACAAAAATAATATAAAACTCATATCCTGGCTAAATAGCCACATGGCCGCTGAAAACCATATATTCCCTTCCCGTTCTCCCGCAGTTCCCTAGCTTGTCATGCATGCTTTCCAAAAATCAGGACTTTTTTAAAACGGCGCGGGATGTAGGACAAATTGTTAAAAATCGGGACTGTCCTGCCAAAAGCGGGACATCTGGTCACCTTAACCTTATCCCCACCTGTGTTGGCCATACAATAGCCACTGGCTGCATGTGAACCCTTGGGATATGGCTGGTGGGACTGAGGAATGACTTTTTACAAAAATTAATGTTCTTAGTTCTCAGTTTTAGGTTCATAGCAAAACTGAGTGAAAAGTAGAGAGAGTTCCCATATACCCCTCATCCCCACATCCATACAACCTCCCCTACCAACAACATCCCCCACCAAAATAGTACACTTGTCACAACTGATGAACTGACATGTCATTATCACCCAGGGTTGATAGTTTGCATTGGGGTTAACTCCTATTGTTGTACATTCTATGGAGAAATGAATTTTAATCATAATAAATTGTAATTAATTAAAACTTACATAGCTCCTGGC